TCTACATAAGAGGTTAAATGAAAAGGTAATCAGCAGTGGTTGGGAAATCTTCAACTTCCAAATCAGTGAAGGTCAGCTTCAAGTTTACCAGGTTCACAACTGTACATCTTGCAACATCTTCATGGCCTTTGACACCTTTTCAGTGGATTATGGGCTAAATTCTTGGATGTTCCTTCTAGTTTTACACTGTAAGCACAATTTTCTAAGGATCCAGCACCTCCCTTGTCAGTAACAGCAACACACAGTATTCCATTCAAATTAAATAAAAAGAGAGTTTAAAAATCATCTACAAAATGTATGTCACAATCTCATCCTAAGTGAAGTTTTATCTTAATATATGGATACATTTCACCTTTTCTTTTGCCAGAATAAACATTTTTAAAGAAGCTTTTAGTGTTTTTCTCTGAGGTAGCATACAATTAAACAAGCTTTCATCCCAACCCAGATCTGTGGCATTTGTGTGTGTGTGTGTGTGTGTGTGTGTGTGTGTGTGTAGGGACTAAAAACTTTATTTTTAGCTGGTGTGAGGAGAAAAGAGACATGCTATTATTTTTTTCCTAATAAAAATCACTATTTTAAAAAGGAAAGAAAGAGTATTTAAGAGCCAACACATTGCAAACAGGTGAAATGTAGTGTGACTTTGGACTACTTATTTAAACTTTCTGGGCCTCAGTTTTCTTATCTATCAAGGGGAGATGCATTGTTCATAAGGTTGTTGAGTGAAAAAATGAAATCATGCTTATGGAGAACTTGGCACAGTGTCTAACACACAGTGCACATAGAAATAAGTAGCTGTTTTTGCTTGCATGTTTACTATATGCCTTTTGTATTGCTGGTGTTCACATTTATTTCTTCCCTTAGTATACCAGCAGCATCAAGGGAATAAATGATGTTTGTAAAGCAATGCAAGTTTCTGTTGAGAAATCAGCTGACATTAATATGGTACTCCCTTGTAGGTAACTACTTTTCTCTTGCTGATTTTAAGATTCTCTCTTTGTCTTTAGCCCTTGGCATTTTAATTATTATGTGTATTGGTGTGGGCCTCTTTGGGTTCTTCTTGTTTGGGACTCTCTGTGCTTCCTGAACTTTTTTTTAAAAAATATATTTTATTGATTTTGTTCAGAGAGGAAGAGAGAGAGATAGAGAGTTAGAAACATCGATGAGAGAGAATCATCGATCAGTTGCCTCTTGCACACCCCCTACTGGGGATGTGCCCTCAACCAGGGTACATGCCCTTGACCGGAATCGAACCTGGGACCTTTCAGTCCACAGGCTGATGCTCTATCCACAGTTTTGGCTGCTTCCTGAACTTTTAAGTCTATTTCTTTTACCAGTAGAAAATGTTTTCTGTTATTATTTCTTCAAATAGGTTTTCAATATCTTGCTCATTCTCTTCTCCTTCTGGTACCCCCATTTTGCGAATGTTAGTATGCTTGAAGTTGTCCCAGAGGCTCCTTACACTATCTTCACATTTTTGGATTCCTTCTTCTTTTTGCTTTTCTGATTGGGTGGTTTTTTTTCTTCCTCATTGATTTTATTCTTGGAATCCTCTACTCTACTGTTGAATTCCTGTAAATTATTCTTCATTTCAGTTAGTATATATTTAACTTCTGACTGGTCCTTTTCATGTCTTTGGTGTTCTCACTAAGGTTTTTGAAATTCTCACTAAGATCCTTGAAAGTCTCGCCAAGTCCCTTGAACTCTCATTAAGATCCTTGAGAAAACTTATAACCATTGTTTTGAACTCTGTATCTAATAGTTTTCTTGCTTTCATTTCATTTAGTTCTTTTTCTGCAGATATATTCTGTTCTTTTATTTGTGACATGTTTCTTTGTCTCCACATTTTGGCTGCTTTCTTGTGTTTGTTTCTATGTATTAGGTAGAGCTGTTCTGTCTCCTGGAATTGGTAGAGTGGCCTTGTGTGGTAGGTGTCTTATAGGATCCAGTGGCTTGGCCTCCCCAATCACCTGAGCTGGGAACTCTAGGTACATCCCTGCGTGAGCTGTGTGTACATTCTTGTTGTAGATGGGCTTTGATTACTGTTGGTGTCACTGGAGGAGTTAACCTCCAGGCCAATTGATTGTAAGGACTAACTGTGACTACAGTGGAAGAACTGTTATGCAGAAGACATCCTATTTAAGTGGAGCTTTGGTGCTCACTGGGTCTGCCCCTTGAGTGTGTGAGTTGTACTTTGGTATAGTCTAAAGCTGTCCTCCAGGTGCACTGGCTCTGGGGCCTCCTGGGAGTTCCAAAATCAGCCTGGGACCACATGACCTAAGCTATAGATAGGTCTGCAGATGGCTGCTATTTGTATCAAGCTTGGAAGTGCCCAGGTGGGCCCAGCTGAAAAGCCAGGCAGGCTGGTGATAGTGCTGAGTCTTAGGTCTTTTACTAATAGGTTTGGGGCATGCTGATGCCAGCTGCTGCTTGCTTGAGAGATTTTAACAAAGTCTGAAGCCTCACTTTAAAAGCAAAGAAGCTGAAGCGTGGACTTGACCAAAGGTACACAGCCAATCAATGGTGGAATCTATTTGTTTTGAATCTCAAACCTGGGACTTTTTTTGGCAGATGCTTGATTCTGCCAAATAATTGTGGGAGGAAAAGAGGGTGGAGTTTTAGCAAACTCTAGTATTGGCTTGTTTCCTCTCCATCCAATAATTGTGGGAGGAAAGAGGGTGGATTTTTAGCAAACTCTAGTATTGGCTTGTTTCCTCTCCATCCATTACCCCCTCCTGGGTAAATATTAGGCAGCCAACTCAAGGCCTTGATGCCACTGATTTTTTTATATCCTTCCTGAACCTTTGAGTTTGCAGTGTTCTTTTATATACTGTTTTGCTCCTATTGGCAACAAATGCCTCATATCAGTTTCCTGATCTGAAAAATATGGGATGAATGGCATCTTCTTACCCAATGAGAAAGTCTACTCTCCAACAGCCACCCACTTACTCTAACCCTCCTTTTATTTTCTTAGGAGGCCTAGCTCTGCCTTCCCTCATTTATTTATTTTCTGTCTTCTCCACTCTCTCTAGAATGGCAACATGGTGGGGAGGCAGGGTCCTTTGTTCAGCAGTGAGTGATACTGACTGTATCAGCAGTGAAGACAGAAGTATCATTCACTGCTATACCCAAATACCTACTGGAGTGCAGTACAGGTCCTTAATAGTTATTTGTGATCACATACTTTTTATTTATTTATTATTATTTTAAATATATTTTTATTGATTTCAGAGAGAATGAGAGAGAAAGAGAGAAACATCAATGATGAGAAAGAATCATGGATTAGCTGCCTTCTGCATGCCCCTTACTGTGGATTGAATCTGCAACTGAGCATGTGCTCTGGATCAGAATTGAATGTGGGACCCTTCAGTCCAAAGGCAGACACTCTATTCACTGAGCCAAACTACCCAGGGCTATTGATTTAAATTGAATTTATTGGAGTAACATTGGTTAATGAAATTACATAGATTTCTAGTGTACAATTCTATAGTACATCATCTGTATACTGCATTGTGTTCTCACAACCCCAAAACAAGTCTCCTTCTATTACCATTTATACCCCCTTTATTATCTTTTACCTTCTCTCATCCCCCTTTTCCTCTGGTAATCATCATACTGTTATCTATATCTATTAGTTTTTTACTTAATCCCTTGACCTTTTTCACCCAGCTCTGTAATTTCCCTCCCCTCTTACAGGTAGCAGTCTGTTCTCTGAGTCTGTTTTTAGTTTGTTAGTTTATTTTGTTCCTTAGATTTCACATAGGAGTGAAATCATATGGTATTTGTCTTTCCCTGACTGGCGTATTTCACTTGGCAGCATGAAGAAAGTGGAACTGTCTTATGACCCAACAATTCCACTTCTAGGAATATATCCAAAGAAACATGAAATACTAGTTCAAAAGAACATATGATCCCCTATGCTCATTGCACCATTATTTACAATTGCCAAGATTTGGAAGCAGCCCAAGTGCCCATCAGTTGATGAGTGGATAAAAAAGCTGTGGTACATTTACACAATGAAATACTACTTGGCTGTAAAAATGAGGGAAGTCTTGTCCTAGCAGGTTGGGCTTAGTATATAGAGCACAGGCCTGTGGACTGAAGGGTCTTGGGTTCAATTCCAGTCAAGGGCACATGCCAGTAGGGGGGAGTGGAGGAAGCAGGCAATCAATGATTCTCTCTCATTATTGATGTTCCTATCTCTCTCTCCCTCCTCCTTTCTGAAATCAATAAAAGTATATTTTTTTAAAAATGAAGGAAGTCTTACCCTTTACAAAACATGGATGGACCTGGAGAGTATTATGGACCTGAGTGACACACTTTGAAATGATACCTTCCACTTACTAAGTGTTTAACTATAAGGCAAGAACTGTACTAACTGTTTAAGGCATTACCTCATTACTCTTAATATTCTTATTCTTGAAACACCCTGGCAAGGGGGCTCTGCCATCTTTTTGGGGTGAAGTTAGGTATATACCTTTAGGACACGTGGCTGGATTTCAATCCAATTCTCTCTCTCACCTTTGCTCTTTAGCGACTGGGCTCAGCGTTCCCAGTCAATCTTGCATATAGTTTTCTGAAGTCAAACCCCAGAAAGGCAGTTTGTTTAGTGGTTAATAGAAAAGGAACAACCCCCCCCCCAAAAAAAAAAAAATCTCAATTAGGGATCCTGACTGCTTCTGTGAGCAGAGGGCGGGACAAAGGATTATTTCTTATAATTGTATCATTAGAATCATCAGCAGTCATGGGCTTACTCCAATGCAGAGAACCTGCTTCCCTTGCTTCTGAAAGTCCTGGAAAAGCCAAATCACCAGCTCACAGGTGGCCCTGCGCTCCTCCCAGGCAGCTTCCTCTACCCAGGGCGGGCAGCCAAGTCTGGCCTCCTCACACCCTCCAGCCCCAGACAGTGGCCTGGAGCTCACTGCGTCATAACACGCCCCCCTGGGGGCGGTACTGTAGCTGGAGCACTGCGGGAGACACCTTTGCAAACAACCCTCTTCTCCCTGATGTCAGGTTAAAAACCTCAGCACCACGTGCTGCTGACAAACCTGCCTGTGACTGCCTGCCTAGAGCCAGAGACCTCACTTGCTAGAGCCAACATGTCAGCTGTGGTTCTGGAGAGCCGAAGAGGCCTGTCCAGGAAACTCTCTGATTTTGGCCAGGTGAGCCTCAGCTGCGCAGGGCCAAGGGGATGCTGGTGTTTCCTACTTCAATAAGCTCACTGCGATGTCTATTTCCATTTGAAGATAATGACATTGTCCAGGAAGTCGTCAGATAACATAGGTCCTCAACAATTGTTTTCCAGGCAGGACATCAGCCCTGCGTGGCTTTCAGGGGGAAAGAGCACTACTTTAGGAGTTAGGGATCTGGCCTTGAGTAGCCACCAACTAGCTGCGTGTCTTTAGACAGGTCACTCTCCCACTCTGTTGCCTGCTTTTTCTTCTCTATAGTGAAGGGTCTGATCTTTAATGGTCTGGAATGGGAGATGGGATTCTTCTCCATCTGCTCTCCTGTGATGTTTATGAAATGCTCACAGCCATCTTTTGTAGTGGCAAAATTGTGAGAAATTGCAACTTTTTTTTTTTTTTTTTTTTTTTTAATCTTTCGGAGAAAATGGGGCATGAAGAAAGTCTCAGACTTACTCAGACCTAGGGAAGGAGAACATTAAACAGAGAGGAAAACGAACAAGTTAGCCTTGGACTTGGAATGTGACTTGGGGATAAGGCCCAGGTGTTGTCTGATTCTCTGGGATTTGCTGCCTTTCTCTTGAGGTGAACAATTGCATTCTTTTATTGACTTATCACGCTCCTGAACTCTCTGGTTCAGAACAAAAGCCCAGTTCAGGGAGCAAACCTGACTCTGCAGACACATTTCATTAATAGGGTTAGTGAGAACCATCTAGAGAACAGGAAGGTGGAGGGGAGGGGATGAGTAGTTGATGTTTTAGGATAACCAGAGAAGTGGCAGAACTTTTCACACTGACTTTCGTTTTGAGTTCTGAGAAAGAAGACCTTAGAAATGTATGTGATGCTTGGAAGATGGGAGAGTTTGGGATTGAAGAGGGATGGTGTGGGAGTCAGACAAGTCCCAGAATAGACCCTGACGTGTCATCCTTTAGTTTCTGTGTTTTTGGCCATGGACTTCCACAATCATGAGGAGAAGTTAGGGACAGTCATCTGGAGAGTAAAGCTTTGTTTATAAGGCACTGAGAATAAGATTGAGACCCACAAATCGTCACTCTTAATGACTTGAAGGAAAGAGCAGGGTTTAGAACATGCCCTGGTGTCCCCTGCACATTGATAGCAGGCTATTTAACTTTGCAGAGCCTCACCTTTATTCATTTGAAAAATTTGAATAAAAGTACCCACATCCTAGGGTTGGTGTGAGGATGAAATGAAATAACTATAAAGCTCTTAGCACAGTTCCTGGAACATAGGAAAGTGTCAGTGGTATATAGCTGGGATGGGCTTAATTGTTCAACAAAATGTGTCTGGAACATTGGCAGGAGGGACCAGCACTGAGTCAGATATAGTGACTAGTGTAGCTTTGTCAGGGAGCAATGCTGGGCATGAAGTCAGGAGACCTGGGATGGGGAGAGGCCCAGTTCTGTAACTGTAAAATTGGGGAGGGGGAGTGTTTGAACTGGAATAGACTTAAGGATTCCATCCAAGTCTGACAGTCTGTGAAAAAGATATGGTTTATGCCTTCATGAAGCTATTAGCTCAGATAAAGACCATACACTGGATATAATTGTGTGTGACACAGGTTGGAAGGCATATGGTATGGCAAGCACTCTACACACATGCAACAAGCAGAACAATTCTGTAAGTGATGTTGACTCATTCATTCACCCAACAAAGACTGAGCACCTACCATGTTTCTACCCTGGAGAAACTTACATTGTATTATAGGAGACAGACAATAACAAAGTTAACCAAACGAACATACAATTTTATGCAGAGATAAGTTCTGTGAAGAAAAAGTAGTACAGGGAATGGAATAGAAGATGAAGGGAACTCAGAAATCACAACTAAGAATGATAAGCTAGTGTTCAAAACCAGATTTGACTCTGAGCCCTCCCTCTCCCCTGTACGCTCCTCTACCTCACTGCTTTCTCCTATAGACAAATGCTGGGATACAGAGGTATAGTGTGTCCATGCCAGGATGCTTGCATCTTCCTTTCAGTTGTCTCACACTGTAAATACATGTGTGTTTAACCACTTGGGCAAATATGTACCTCTTACTATGGCCCCTCCAAAGCACTAAGAATGAAAAGCATTGCCCCTGGAATATCCTTGCCAGAGTATTATTGCTTATAACTTGGAAAAAATGTCCTTTTTCCATACACAATGAATGTATTTGTTAGACACAATCCAACACAATATATTTCTATTGGTAAATGTATTGCTCAATGATCAAAATACTTTTCTTTCTGGTTCCTAGTAAAGTTCTTTCTCCCAGCCCTATTTCTTCCTACTTAGTTTCTGAGCTTCTCTTGTCTGTCTTTACAGACAAGAGTTACCTGTGTTTTAAGTCAACTCATGTGTCTATTGGAAACAAATAACATTTGGATTGTGAGCCAATAAAAACATATTCTGGAAGAAATTTGGCCAAGATCCCATGCTAAGTCAATATAGCAATGTTGAAATTACTATGAACCCAAGACCACACAATTTCACAAACTTTCTTGAGCTTCCTTTCATTTAAAGTCTCTCAGGCTTTGAAAAGAGGAGCTGTAGTCCCACTTGAATCTGCCATTAGGAGGCAGAATAAGAACTTTAAAGTTGCTGGCCTCGAGTTCAAGTCCAGACTTTGCTACTTATGAGCTGGGTGTCTTGGACAGGCCACTTAACCTTGCTGGATTTATTTCCTCATTTGCAAAACTAAACTACTTCATGAGGCTACTGTGGAAACATGTAAACCCATAGAATAGTGCTAGTTGCTGCCAAAGATGAAGCTTATTAATTGTGAAAAGTACAAAGTATGGCTCCTGGCACACAGCGGGAACTCAGTATTAATTTTACTAATACGAAAGAGTAGTGACATATCATATGGCAAATTTAAATTTGTAGGCACATTTGAGAAAAGTCGTAATTTGAAAAAAAAATGGGCTGTATATTTTTATCAGTGATTTAAAAATATTTCATGGTTAGGTATTATGTGGGATACTTTAGAAAATGTAGGTTCTAAGATCCTACCCAAGATATTTTGATTTGATTGGTTTGGGAGGGACCCAGCAATCTGCATTTGAATAAGGAATCACCAGGTAATTTTGGAGTGGAAATCCAAGGAACACTCACTGAGAAACCCTGATTTAGAAATTGTGTGGGGAGAATGGAGAAAGTGAAAGAGGCACAGGAACAGGTAAGGAGTGGTATTGAGTAACTGGTGATTAGATCAGAGAAGAGCTCTTTGCAAGAAAACTAGGTCTTCATATGGACCTTTTGTTCATAGCACAGGGAATTGTATAGAATGACTGATAATTAGGAGCCTGAGTTCTCCACCTGGGACCACTACCTGTGTGACCTCCGCTGAATCACTTTCTTTGGCCCATAGTTTCTGTATTTGAAAAATGAGGGTTTGAACTAAATGAACTATAAAGCCAAGTCTAGCTCTGTGAGTCAAAATTCAAGTTCCAAAGCAATGGAGAGGGATTGTTTCTAAAAGAAGTGAGACCCAAGACGGCTTTTGAGGAAGAGTGAGCTATTTGAAAGTGGGCGAGAGAGGAGTGCAGTGGATTTACCCCAAGGAGGAAGCCATTGTATGGTGGGGAGGTTCTTGTGGGTGAGCCTCAAGAGGCTCTTGATTATCAGAAGGAAGTATTCAATATTTTATCCCACTGGCCATGAGGAGCCTCTAAAAAACTTAGTAGGAAAAGGACATGAGCAAAATTACTTGGGTTTGATCAATGAGGATTACTAAGAGCTAGATTAGTGTGCTGGCAACAGGAACAAAAGAAGGACCTGACCCCGTCTGCATAAGGTCAGATTGGTCTTGGTGGTTGGCTGAACATGCACAGGAGTGGAAAGGGGGTGGTGATGGAATTTTGAGCATGGTACATACATATCTGAATTAAGAAGTGACATCTGTGGATACATATCAGTAATATGTCCCTTTTCCTAGAGGCCAACAAAATAAGAGAATGTTGCCAAGGGAACTAGAAACAGAGAAATCCTTTGTCATTTCAAGGAAATCAGAAAGGACTAAGGGCTCAGTGTTCTCTGGTGGGAAGAAGACTGCTGTAAGAAACTCATCTGCATATCTTTGGCAGGGCTTAGAGGAGGGAGAAGGTGTACAGAGTCTGCTGTAAATCCTGATTCATAGATAGTATTCTGGGTTACATAACAACGGGTAAGTTACCTAATTTCTCTAAGCCTTAATTTTTTCATCAGTAAAAGGAGGCACTTGGAAATGAATAAAATCTACCTTCTAGATCAAGAGTGTCAAACTCAAAGGCTAACACAGGCCAAATAAACAAGGTTTAAGTTTGTGTGGGCCGCAAAAAACCAAAAGCTTCAATTTTCATAGGAATGTAGGTTTATTTTTATAGAGACATACTGAATACAAAAGGCTGAAATAAATGAGTCATAATTAACATAAAATAATAGAACATTTTAATAAAAATTAATATTTTTTCTGGAATATTAACTTATGAGAAACTGAATAACTGTATAAATTAATAAGCGTAACGCAATAAAACTTTTTCTTGTTCTCCAAAAGCAAAATATTTTCTGTTGCGCACACCAAACAAGTCAGCCCAAGACTAATGACTTGGCCATCAGCTGCTAATATATTCTCTGCTGGTATTAGTTGAGAGAAATGATGCGCCTGTGTATAAGGCGAGTAATGGAAATGAATGCAACAGGATTATAGTAATCAGTCATCAGGGAACTTTGTAGTTCATTATTAATAATTACGTACAACAAAATATTGTAAAAATTAAGTTACAAAATTTTTATTAAAATGTTTCTTACATACCGTTATATTGGCTGGGCCGCAAAAATATTCGTCGTGAGCCACATGCGGCCCTCGGGCTGTGAGTTTGACATGCTTGTTCTAGATTGTTACAAGAAATAAATGAGATCATCCAAATGCCTGTGACATTATAGGATCTTAATAAATGATGGCTTAAAAAGTTTTAAGAAAGACTATATTATGCTCCATATAAAGATATATCGATATAACAGTTCAGTCTTCTAATTCATTTGAAATTCCTTCTAATCACACTTGCTCTGTTTCAGAAAAGGTTCTGGGGAAATCTATTTTCTGAATGAAAAGAAGTTCATCCTAAGGGCATTGGTGTTTATGCAGGGCTTATTACACCAAGTCATAGATAGACCCTGTCCGACACAGCCTTCCCATTGAGATAATGTAACATCCATTCCACTAATTTCTTTAATCTGCTTATAAGAGAGTGCTTTTCTGTATATTCTTTTTCTTCCTAGTTTTAGGTACATGCTGTTTATTTTTGGGCACACGTGGAACTTTAAATATTATTATAAAACTAATGTAACAAATTTCAGCACTTTCTGGACTGCCAATCCTAATCCCACCCTAATTTGCTGTCACATGCATGTAGAAATTGGTAGGTCCTTGACATGCTTTGCTGTTTTGTTTAAGACATCTGCCTTCAAGTGGGTAATTTGTGTACTTTTATGTATCCTATAACTTTTTCTACAGTTGTATATAGAAGATCCCAGTATACACGAACAAGTTAATGCTTCCCCAATAGCTTTGCAAAAGGCCAAGAAGTCATTCTCATGTATTGAAAATGTAATTATCATTTTTTATAGGCTCCTCTTAATATCCTACTTAAACTTCTTTATCTTTTCTTTTTTCATCATCTGAACACTGTTTAGACAGGGCTTGTCATTAGCATAATTTTACAGATGAGGAAACTATGAAGGCTAAATGATTTGCCCAAAGTATCGATAGTTCAGCTCAGAGGACCCTAACCCACATCTTCAGACTCAAAAGTCTGTGTGTTCTGTTTTTAGGACTTTCCATCCTGTATTTTTCAATGTTTTCCTGGAACACTTTTTGAACCACCACTAAGGATCTTTTATTTTTTTATTTTTATTTTTTAGTTAGTTATTTGGTTTGTTGTGTGTCTATTCAACCAAATTTTGAGCTTCTTCATCTTTGAATCTCTGCACCCTATTACCTGGCACTTAGTGGGTGCTCATTAAAAGGTATTGGATCTGCCAAAATCAGTTTGGCTCAGTGGATAGAGCGTTGGCCTGCAGACTTAAGGATCCTAGGTTTGATACATTCAAGGGCATGTACCTTGGTTGCGGGTGGGCAGCTGATCGATGTCTCTCTCTCATCGATGTTTCTGATTCTCTCTCTATCTCTATCTCTCTCCCTTCTTCTCTGTAAAAAAAAAAATCAATAAAATATATTTAAAAAAATAAAAGGTACTGGATCTACAGGGTGACTGGTGACACCAGTGAATACCTGAAGCTTCTAAAGTTGAGATCTGACCTAGGAGTGTTATTGACAATATCACAGGCCTTGACTTATTTCCCACCACATTATATACTTCTCTATAGAATCTATGCAGCCCAAGGTTTAACTAGATAAAAGAGTTCCTGATGGTCTCCTCCCTGGAGGTTTCACAGAAATGAGTTGCTAAGCCATGGAAAACATTCTAACTAAGTATGTTTAATTCTGTAGGAAACAAGCTACATTGAAAACAACAACTCCAATGAAAATGATGCCATATCACTTATTTTCACACTCAAAGAAGAAGTTGGCGCGCTGGCCAAAGTCTTGCGCTTATTTGAGGTAAGAATGTGATTCATTGCTGCCTGGGATCGTGGCGTAGCTGACTTCTGGGTCATTTTCTAGTTGGATGCAGTGAACATAGGATCTGGAACTGGCAGACTTGCTCTTTGGTGTGGGCTCTTGCATTAACTGTGTGACTTTAAGTCATTCTTCTCTCTGAGCCTCAGTTTCTCTATTCATAGTCAGAATCATTCAGATTCCTGGTTGCACACCTAGGAAACCAGCCCTGGCCTTAGATTTCTTTTATCAAACTTTTCTTGAATTAATTACCATCTTCTCAATGTTTTTACTTTTACCAGTAGTGCTTGTTTGCCTTCAGGATAGACATTTCTCTCTGGTCCCGAGGATGATTTCTTCAGGCAGGGAACCTTGGTTTAGTCATATTATATCCTCTACACACCCAAATTTTAGTATATTAAGCGATCAATTAAGAATGAAATTAAATTTAAATATAAACAAAGGAAGTCAGACTTTTCTTTTACTCTTTTGCCCTGGATTTTAAGAAGGAATATTTTTGAACTGATTAATTTTATCATGAGTTTTTTAATAAAGTGAAATCTGGTGATTGAATAAGAAAATAAATGGAGAAGAGACAAAACTCCTGTGGAGAAGAATTCCAAATAATTTAAGCAGATATTCTACTCAGAGGCGAGAACCTTCTTCAGTGTGGGTAGCACAGAGTGACTTTCTTTCACAGAAAACAATATGAGAAGAGGGAAGAATAACTTTCTGTGGAGAATCTAACAAGGAATGGCTCAGCCAGGTGATCAAGGTCAAAACCAATGGTGACAAGTCATACTGATAATGATGAGAATGGTACCTTACCTCTGCAGTCTTCCTCCCCGAAACGCATAACCACAGTCTAACTATGAGAAAACTATCTCTCAAATTTTAGTTAAGAAACAATATATAAAATACCAGATCCATAACTCCTTAAAACTCAAGGTCATAAAAAACTAGAAATAGCTGAGAAATTAATTTAGCCAGGAGGAGCCTTAAGGGACATAATGACTAAATGTAACATAGTGATCTGAATGGGATCCTAGAACAGAAAAAAGACCTTAGATATAAACTAAGGAAATTCAAATGCAGTAATATCTTTAGTTTGTGATGATGCACTAATATTGGTTTATTAATGTTTCACCACCAATATAAGATGTTAATAATAGGGAAACTGGATGCAGAGTACATTGGAATTTTCAGTAGTATACTCTCAGTTTTTCTGTCAATCTAAAATTGATCTAAAAATAGTTTATTAAAAAATTAAACTTGGCTATCCAAAAAGATAGGTGGAGTGGGAAATGTTGGTTCTCAAGCAATGGTTGGAGAAGAGAGGCAGGGTACTTTCTGAATGACAGTTTATAAAAATAATATATCTGTAAAATGCTCCTTTATAACAATTTAGCCTTTGTATTATTCAGTCAATCAAATCAGCATTTTTCCCTTGAGAGGTCAGACATTAGAGTTAATAAATTAAATAATAGTAAATAAATAGGATGTTTTCAACTTAATAAATAAACCACAAGTAACTAAATTACCCAGACTGGATGAAATATATCCAAGGAGTGTGAGTGTGTGTGTGTGTGTGTGTGTGTGTGTGTGTATACTCTAGCTAAACTTTTAAAAATTAAATTCATTGGGTGACATCAGTTACTAACATTACATAAGTCTCAAGTATGCAATTTCACAATACATTGTCTGTGCATTGCATTGTGTGCTCACCATTTGGGTGAACTTTCCCCCCCATTTTTTAATTAAGGTATTATATGTGCACGTAGTTTACCAATGGCCTCCCCGACTCCCATACATGCCCTCACCGCCCAGTGTTTTGCGTCCAATGGTTATGCTTATATGCATGCATACAAGTCCTTCAGTTGATTGGGTGAACTTCTTAAAGCATTATCCAAAAATCTGAATTGCCCTTGTAAAGATGTGAAATTATTACACCCATTTATAGAGGAGGACACAGAAGTGATTATCCTGGGTGATTGGTAAAAGGCCTGGTGTTGGTATGTAATGATTTTTTCCCCTGATGTATTTCAGAAGCTGCCCTAAACATTGTATAAGCCAGTATGCCTTCTGCTCCTCCTTACCAACCTGGCAAAATGCAGAGTTAAATTATAATTATTCAAAGTGCCAAGGCAAGGAGGAAAATCTCATTCTAGTGTGTGTGGAACCACATTAGGTAGTAAGCCAGGCTTGATTTGTCTTCATTCAACTTGGTGAAGAAGTATTACTCCATTTTATGAAGGAGAAAACTGACATTCTGTGAGGGGACCACACAGCTAAGGTGTGGTGGAGATGGGGCTGAGCTCTGCATCTCAGGTTCCAAGGCCCACAAGCTCTCTTTGAACTGCCAAATACAGCTCTCCCTGTACACCTGAAGCATCTATGGAGTTTTTCCGATGTACAAATATTCTGGCCCCATCCTCCCATTCTTTGGGGGCAGGAGGATCTTTTCTTTCTTTCTTTCTTTCTTTCTTTCTTTCTTTCTTTCTTTCTTTCTTTCTTTCTTTCTTTCTTTCTTTCTTTCTTTCCTTCTTTCTTTCCTTCCTTCCTTCCTTCCTTCCTTCCTTCCTTCCTTCCTTCCTTCCTTCCTTCCTTCCTCCCTCCCTCCCTCCCTCCCTCCCTCCCTCCCTCCCTCCCTTTCTTTCTTTCCTTCCTTCCTTCTTTCTTTCTTTTTTTTTTAAATTGAAAAATGTGTCAAAATACAAGAAACGTAATTGTCCATAATTTCACCATCTGCAATAAACCACCGTTAGCATGTGGATATATTCACTTTCATTTTTCTGTATGTATAATTATGGTTTCCAAAATTACAAATTGACATATTGTTCTTTTAAAAATATAGAACTTTCAAGATATAGCCATTGTTCTTTCTAGAGTCCCTCAATCCTGTTATCCTGCAAACATCCTGGCCACAGCATTATTATCATATTTTTAAAATATGTCTTTATTGATTTTTTAGAGTGAGAAGAAGGGGAAGGGAAAGAGAGATAGAACCACTGATGAGAGAAGAATGTTATTGATTGGCTGCCTCCTGCACTCCCCGCACTGGGGATTGAGCCCACAACCCGGGCATGTGCTCTGACCAAGAATCGAATTGGTGACCTCTTGGTTCCTCGGTTGACACTCAATCACTGAGCCACAATGGCTGGGATAGGCAACATTCTTATCAGTTTAGTATATTTCCTTCCAGTCCTTTAAAAAGCTCTATTAATGCTGACAGGTACCATGCTTTGCATATTGCTCTGAAACCTCTTTGCGTCAGTTCAGTAGAGTGGTCAAGACCTTGGGCTCTCCCACGGTGCTGTGGCTTTGGGAGAGCTGTTTGATATGCCTGTGCTTTAGTTCCTTATCTGTAAAATGAGAATAGGATAGTGTCTGCTTTAAGGGGTAGTTGTGAGGATTAAATCCTTAATGCCTAGAAAACCCTCAGTGCAGTTACATATTAAGTGTTCAGTAAGAATTGCTATATAGTTTTTTCTCTGAATGCAATGTTTTTGAGATATAAGCTCTTAAGCTCTTAATATGTACTCCATGCCTGGAAGCTTTCTTAGCCCCTATTCACACACAAAAAGTGAGGTCTGCAGGGGAGGGCAGACTTCTCCCAGCATGGCGAGGTTTCATTCCCTTCCTGAGAGCCCATCTTTTCCTTAGATGATAAGCACCAAAAGCCACCATCTCATGAAGAGATGACATTGCCTGCCAATGGGCCAGTGTCTTTGCAGACCTCAGCTAGTAACATCAGAATGCAATGCAACGCGTTTAATGTTTATAACAGAGACACACGGGTGCTGTGTTTGCATGTGCTGGGCGGGTAGTGGGAGCATAGAAGCAAATGTTTTCAGTGAGTTGGGGCCACAAGACTAGGAAGATACCAAAACCTGCACCTGCTAACCTACCAATGCCCCATTGTCTTCGGTGACTTGTTCTGCCCATTCTTTATGCATTTATTTAAACATTTTCCATAGCTCTCTATTTGTTAGCCTCTACTACTTCATGCCCCATGCCTTCGTAACAAAAACAGTCTCCTGTGAGACTTTACTGCAAGTGGTTAATGAGCTGTAAAATTAGGAGCAGGATCCTTGGAGGAGACTGCACAGAAGCAGCCTTTCTCCCCTCACCAGCCCTCTGCTAATCACCACACTGTGTATTCTCCAGGGAAGGGAACAAGCAAATCAGCAGATATGCAGAGCTCTTAAGTGACGGTACACCCCATTAGCATCATGTAATTGATGGAGACACAGAGGCTCAGGCAAAGCAAGCTGCCCAGGGCTAGACACTGGGAGCTAAACATTGCTTCAGACTTCCCCCTCCTTTTCACAGGAGACTGGTCTTTTGGAACCAAATGGGAAAGGCACAATCTATGTTTGTCACCTTCATGTCCTACACTCTATCTACCTCTGCCCAGACGACCCACGATTCCCCCTCATCAGATATTCAGTGGGCTCATGCTCTCTCCTGTATGCATTCAGCATATATATATATATATATATATATATATATATATATATATACACACACACACACACACACACACACACACACACACGCATCTCCTGTTTTCAGACCCTATATAGGTGCTGTGGAGACCGGGATGAGCCAGACAGTCATACTCTGTTGCTATAGACCTTGGAAGAGGTCAGGGTTCCACAAGCTTCCTTAACCTAGACTTGAGACAGAGTTGGTCAGGAAAGGTTTAAGCTGAAACATGAAGGGGTGGGTCAGGGGAGAGGCAGAGGGAAGTATATTCCAAAACAAAGAAACAAATGACTTGAAGTTAGAGAATAAACAGGGGATCTGGTTATGAAATCCTCAAATCCTTGGCCCTTTGCTCACCTTGTGTCCCTGGGGACAGAGGCCAGGTGGCAGGAGGCATCCAGACAGGCAATGTTTATTACTCTGAAGTTTGGACTTTGAGGCCTGCCCGTGACCCCTGGACCTGATGAGCAGTACAGGATTGACAGTAAATCATGAGGGTTGCTTTTACCCCACCCTGGCCTTAGATCCAGGCACTCGTGAGCAGAAAAATGCTTATGGGAAACATTTCTTCTTTAATAAAAATAAAAAGAGCTTTGAGTCTCACTGGAGGAGAAAGGTTTTTAAAACCCAAATGACGTTTTCATTTTATTTAAGTCCCCAAATATGGGCAATGATGTGAAGAACACTATGTAACTCACCTGCCTAAGAAATAAAACATTGTATCCTCCTGCACTCCCTCCTGAGAGGTAGCTGTGAATCTGAATTTTATGCATGGGATTCCCATACATGTTTTATACTTTGTTCTACGTAAATAAGTATTAGTGATGCAAGGCCTCATTTTGCAAGCTTTAATCTTCATAACATTGTAACTCTCCCTGCAGCTCACTTTTGTGAGGAGAGGGTGGTGAGCACTGTTTTGGAGATTTGCTCACATAGTTCTTGCCCATTCCTTCCCCCTCTCTATATTCTTTTGTGTGGCTGTATTTATTCACTTCCTGTTGGTGGATACCTAGGTGGCTTCTGTGGTTTGTCCACACAAATGGTGCTGCACAAAACATTTCGTACAGGCCTGATGTCCTGTTTGTTGAAGGGAAAAACCTTGAGTGGAAAATTAGCACTGTTTTTAGCTGCTGAACAGTTCAGAGCTGGACGCACTTGAGAAGTAGCAACAGAGAGCTTACTTTCCCCACTTTCGTTATGAAGTTACGTTAGACAGTGCTGTGGCCCATTGACTGCTTTTCGGTAATTGCTTTTCGGTGGCCTGGACTGGAACAGACCACAGTGCCTTTTTGATCATATCACTCTGGTGGCAAGAAAAGGTGTAGAAAGAGGAATGTAAGAAAAAAAGGAAGGCATTTTCTCTAAAGCCTTGAAAAGATCCTGGATGAAGCTGCTTCCCCAGCTTTCCCCAGGAAGAAGTCTCCTCCAAGTTGCACACAACCTATTTACATAAGTTAAAATATAAATAGTATTTTCCCAAGGGGTTATCATTATAACCCTGTAAGAAATAAAGTGAAATTTTCATTATAAAAGTCATAAACATTGTTTTAGAAAAGTTGAACTGTGATAAAAATGAAAATAGGAAGAAGGAAACAAAATCACCTCTGGGGTCATTATCTGCAGACCACCAGTATTCCCATGTCATGCAATGGCCACTGGCACTTTATTTTATATAAGATGTTGTTGTGAATAGTTTTTCTAATAGTTGTGTCATCTCTACTGAGTGGTTACACTATAGTCTACCTACCCGTTTCCCTATTGTGAGAACTTAGTTAGTTTATACACCTTGGTAAAGTATGTTCCCATAAATTAAGTCCCTAGAATAGCACAAACTGATTTTGGGGTACAAATTGTTTTATGGCTCTTCCCAGAGGCAGTGCTGTGGGTGGTGAGTACTAACAGCCTATGATCAGCCTTCCAGCCCTTCCTCCCCCTCCCACCCTCCCCCATGCCTTCCACCTCTGTCCTCCTTAGTCAGCAGGGAAGCTTGCCAGAGGTGTGGCCTGTCCTGGCTATTGACTTTGCTTTTTGTCCTCTGCTCTCCAAATGTCAGGGATTGGTTCTTTCTTCTTTTTGAAGTTTCAACTTATGTAAATAGCCGGTGGAACTCACCCACTCTCTTTCTTCCTGAGCCAAGAAGGATGACAATATTCTTTTGTTTGTTTGTTTGTTTTGTTTTGTTTAGAAAGTTACCTCTGTTTGCTTAGAAAGCTTCAAAGCAACTCTATCTCTCTGGCCTTCTCTCCTCCACCTTCTCTCTCTCTGGTCCATTCTCATGTGGGGTAACCTGGAGTCACCATCGGGCCTATATCCTCTGTAGCTGGTGCCCACAGATAACCATGAGTCTGAAGTTAGAAAAAAATAGGCCCCTGTCTCCTATAACTTTTGCAGAACCCCTTCATCTCTGATTTCACTCTGTACTTCTCCTTTAACCTTCTCAAAGGGTTGTGGGCCTGCACAGAAAATAATTCTAAACTCTAAAGTGATATTTAAAGTGAAAAATATATTCATATTGTAATCATTTGTGTTCTCTTTGCCTGCCATTAACCATCAAGGGCAAAAACCCCCACAAAACTTCTTAAATGATAAAATTGATTAATTTTGTGTTTTGAAGTTGTTAAGTTATTCAAGTTAAACATTATTTTTCAGGGTATATTCTATCTATTTAAATGTTTGGGGTAACCCTATTTATTTGCTTCTTTTTAAAAAATATATTTTTATTGATTTCAGAAATGAAAGTAGAGGGAGAGAGATAGAAACATCAATGATGAAAGAGAACCATAGATCAGCTGCCTCCTGCATGCCTCCTACTGGGGATTGAGCCCACAACTCAGGCATGTGCCCTGACTGGGAATTGAACTATGACCTCATGGTTCATAGGTTGACACTCAACCACTGAGCCACACTTGCTGGGCTATTTGATTATTTTAATAAAGGGTAGAGGGTGCCCCTTGGATGTCTTTACAATGAGCAGCACTCTCAATGAAATAACAGACTTTCTGAACAAGTAGCAGATAACTTGCCATGCTTTAAAATTTCACACCAATTTAAGTAACTGACTTTTTAATTACAAATTCATAATAGTGAAATCTCACCAGCTAACAACATTGAATTTGAGTAGGTATATCAAGTAATTATTATTTTTGTGGTATTTAATACAAGCAGCTTCTCCCCTTCTCAATGAGCCTTATGTGTCCACTCTGTTAAATACTGAATTATGTTTGTTATTTATCTCCCTATAACTTGAATAAAAGCTTTTATAAAGAGAAGTACCTTTGTTTTGTTCACTGATATAGCTCAACAACCTAAAAGAGTAAGGGGTACTGCCTACACATTTATTGTATATTTGAATAAAAATATGAGCAGTAATTATACTAAATACTTTTTACTGAGCATTTACCATATGCCTGGCAGTGTACATGTATCATGTTCCAATAAATTTATGAAGCAGGTGTCACTTTTATCACCAAATTACAGATGTGGAAACTGAAGGTTAGAAGCATAAAATAAATTGTTTCAAGTGTTATAGCCAATATAATTGAGGACTTAGATTTAAACCCAATTAACTTAACTCCTATGGACCCTGTTCAAGCAGAAAAATGTTGCTTCGATATTACCTATTTATTGAGATATTTTATTGAGATTCTATGGGATTTCATTTGGTAAATGGAGTTTTCCTATGTAAATATTTATGGCAAACACTGTCCTAGACATTTGAACCAAATCAACATTTATGGTTGAAACTCTAGGTGATGAGCAGATTTCCATGTGGTTAAATTCTACAGTATTGGAATTATATCATCACATCTTGCCATTTGTTATTGGGTTTTGTAAAAACAAAAGAAAATAGGCAAATTGTTCAACTTCAAGGACTTTCTTCTTCTCTGATTTGGAAAATCTTATTCGCCATCTGTGTGCATTTCCTGTATGGTGTGTTCTGCTCTGGTTTGGTGTGTTTGGTCTGTGTTCATGCCAACAACTGTTCTTTTCACATGCCCAATTCTGTTTTCTAGGAGAATGAAATAAATCTGATTCACATTGAATCCAGACCTTCGCGCTTAAAGAAAGATGAGTATGAAATCTTCACCAGTCTGGACAAGAGAAGCGTGCCTACTCTGGCCAACATCATTAACACCTTGAAGCATGAGATTGGTGCCACCGTGCATGAGCTTTCTCGAGAGAAGAAGAAAGACACAAGTAAGAAAGAGAGGAATTTTGAAACCCTAGTTACTCTATATTGTGTTCATAATAATATATACTCTAGAAGACCATTGGGGGTTTAAGCAAGAGGATATAGGTTAGGGATCTAGATGAGAGCCTAGCATATTTTGGACATTTAGTAAATGTTAGTTCTTTCCCCGCTTCCTCTGGAGAGTTATTATATTAATTGTTTTCTTTCTGCTGTTGCCATTTTTATATATTTTTCATTCTTGAAGGGGGGGTATGCTCTCCATCTCCTATCTCTATAGGGAGGATGGTTAGAATGTCTTGGGTGCTTTTTATGTAAACACAACTTCAAGACAAATTCCATGGTCATTGCCATTTCAACCAAAGAGCTCTCCCCACATCCTTGCCATAGTATGTAGATTCTGTAGCAACTGCCTGCCCCTTGTCTTAGAGCTTTCATTTCTTTACTTGTCTTTTTCTCTAGATTATGAGCTTCCTATAGGCAAAGGGAGTATTTTTTTTTAAAAAAATATTTATATCCTATGAGTTTAGCCCAGTGCTTAGAACACAGGTGCTGAGCAAATATTTGGGAGTGAATTATTAAATCCAGGAGTTGTCAAGACTTGCCCTGTCTCCTCATTGACTTACTGAAGTGTTGCCCATTGATGACCCCTGAGCAATAAGTCAACAAAGTAGGGCTATAAAGTGGGGTTGAACAGATTTCAGTTCAAGTCCTACCTCTTCCATTTAAAGACTTTGAGACCCATGCAAATCCCTTTCACTGCTCTGATCTCAAATTTTCAGGGGGTTTCTGTGAGGGTTAAATGAGTTCACACATATACTGCCTGTCTGGGAATGATTGTATGTGGTTGTTGTTACTATTATGCACACCCTAAAAGGAATACAGAGGAACCATGTGATTGCTTTTAGGATCAAAACATATTGAGATAAAACTATCCTATATAATAAAAGGGTAAAATGCAAAATGATTCTAATGGTGGAACAACTGGTCGCTATGATGCACACTGACCACCAGAGAGCAGACGCTCAATGCTGGAGCTGTCCTCTTGGTGTTCAGTGTGCTCCCACAGGGGATCTTCACTCAGCCACAAGCCAGGCTGATGGATGTGAGTGCAGTGGTGATTGCAGGAGTCTCTCTTGCCTCCCTTGGCAGTGCTAAGGACTGATGCAGAGTGGGCCTAAGCCATCAGTCAGACATCCCCCAAGGGCTCTTGGGTTGCCATAGGGATATCTGACTGCCAGCTTAGGCCCAGTCCCCCAGGGAGTTGGACTAAGCTGGCAGGTAGACATCCCCCATGGGGTCCTTGACTGCAAGAGGGTGTGGGCACAAATTTTTGTGCATTGGGCCTCTAGTGTTTTATTAAATAATAAATTTAATAAATGTTTTATTTTTTAAAGCAGTTTCATGCTTACGGGAAAATTGGGCAACAAGTACCGAGAGTTCTCACATGATCTCTTTCTCTCCCTCCACTCCACCTCAGTTTCTCCTATTATTAACATCTTGCATCAGTGTGCTAAATTTTTAATAATTGATGAGCCATAGTGATACGATATTAATAACTAAATTCTATAGTTTATGTTATAGATCATGCTTTGTATTGTACAGTTCTTTTGGTTTTGACAAATGCAGATAATGACATGGTGATCAACAATGGTAGGTAGTGTCATGTATCCATCATTCCAGGTTCATGCAGTTGGTTTAACTGCTCCCCCCCCCCCCCCCCCCCCCCCCCCCCCCCCCCCCCCCCCCCCCCCCCCCCCCCCCCCCCCCCCCCCCCCCCCCAATGCCCTGTGATCCACTGATTTTTCTCTCCTTCTTCTCTTGATCCCTTTGGAAACAATTGAACTTTTACTGTTTTCATGATTCTGACTTTTCCAGAATGGTGTATAGTTGGGACCAGATTATGCAGTGGTTTCTTTCACTTAGCAACATATATTTAATTTCTTTATATCTTTTCGTGACTCAATGGCTCATTTCATTTCAGTGCTGAATAATGTCCCATTGTATGGATGTACTATATATATATAGCTTATCCATTCACCTATTGAAGGACATTTTGGTTGTGTCCCGGTTGTGGTGATTATGAATAAAACTGTTATAAATACTCATGAACAGGTTTTTGCGTGATCCTGAGTTCTCAGTTCATTTGGGTAAATATGTAGAAGTATAAATGCTGAGATGAATTAGTTTTTCTAAATAACTAAACAAGTTCTACTGTACAATCAAAAGTTGTGTTTTGTGTTTTGTATTTTGTTTTGTTTTTAAACACTGAAGAGTTTATGTCAAGCGGATTTCAGGCTCTGCCATTGAAAATAGCATTTTAATAGGCAGAGATATTTAAAATGAGTCAAGACCCACCTCTTAGCACAGGCCATTGACACAGTTTCTATAAGATGCCTCCAAGGACTTCCTAGAAGATCTTACTCCTTCTCTGCCCTCATCCTCCTGTGGCTATCACACAAGCCCATCCAGGGTTCTGCCCTTGCTGAGGGTGGACAGCATGCTCTTGGGCTCAGGTCACTAGGGGAGGGCACTTGGAATTCTTCCTCAGATCCTCCCTGTCCACCTGCCTCCCCCTTCCACCTTCCAAGCTGCTTCCCTGATGATCATCTCCTTTTGCTTTTCCGGCCACCTGCTCCCAACAGGAGCTGCAGGCTCTCAGGACAAAGGCCCTGCTGGACCCGGGGCCAGGCTCTGCCTCTGCTTGAAGCAGGTGGAGGCCTGGCCAGCTGCGGCCTTGGGGTAGGAAATCAAAGCAATTGACAGGCAGGCACACGGCCCCTTGGGGAGCCAGGGAAGATGTATGTAGATCAGATGAAGGGCTGGCAGCCTGAACTGGAGGCTCAGAAAGGCTCTTAATGGCCGTGGAAGAATAGTTAGGAGCCCAGATTTCGAAACCCGGGGACACCATGCTTAATAGAACTTGGGGCAAATTGCTGGCCTTTACGATCTCCCACTGTATCACATGGGAGCAACAAGAGACTCTGTTTCATAGGATTAATGAAATAACAGCGGTGGAGCATCGAAAGCAGTGCAGAGTGTGTTGAAGGGCTTAATAGACATTCTCTATACCACGATCACGGTTGCTATAAATAATGGCTCGAGCACAGGAGCTAGGAAAAGCCAGCCCACACACAGCTCCTTTTTCAGAGATTCTGAGAACCAGCAAATGACCTCGGAGGTCATGCAGCCCAACAGACTCCTTAATTTTTCATGGTACAAAACAGAGGCCGTGACTTGCCTTAAGGCAGAGTGGATCCAGTACAGTCGTGGGTAAGCGTGTGTTGAGTGATGCTTTGTGCCAGGCACTGTGCTAGGAGCTGGAGAGACAGAGGGCCACACTGCCTGTCCTTAAGGCTGGCTGACGGAGGCAATGAGACACCCAGGTGGATACCGTAGAGGGACAAGGGCTGAACATAGCACAGTTTTGATTCCCCAGCGGAGTGTTGAGATTTAAAATTGGGTTGACATTCTGCCTGGCGGAGAAAAACTCTGAGTACTAAGCCTCTAAAACAGCACATGTTTTGTAACTCTCATTTCTTCAGATACTTGGTTGCTCCATCCCATACTGGCTGCCCCTACCTGTCAGGGTTTCCTGACCTTCACATCCTCGTAACAGAACAGATGCTAGGGACACAGGTGATGCTGAAACTTGGGTAATTTTGCACCTGTGGAGAGAGATGGGCTCTTTGGGCTACTGGGGGTAGTTCTTATGAAGTGAAGCCTGGGCCCAGAAGCAGATTTTTTAGGGGAAACAGCTATCCCTTTGCAGAGTTGCTCTTTCTGCAGAGCTCAGTGAGAGGATGATTAGAGGAAGAAAAGCATCATGGTAGATCTGAACCTTTGATTCTTTTCACTTGACAAAATGCCCTGTCTAGTGAGGGGCTCAGACCTCAGGAGCAAGTCTGACAGCAGGTTGAAGTGGGAGATCTGAACCCCTCAGATCAATTAGGCTAAACCACTTTTCATTCTGGTGTTTAAACCATTCAAAAGGCCATGTGGGTGATAGAAAATGAAACTTTTCAGTTTTTTAATTGCTAAACTTTCCCCACCCAAAAGAGCTTAAGAGAAGGTTAATTATGGTGACAAGTTAAAGAAACCCCAACCTTCTTAAATGCCTCCCGGAGAAGCTGATGTGAGTTTAATAGGATTTTAATCCAGAGAGTCTTTTGAATACTTGAGTTCTATTCTCCTGCTACCCTCTCTTCTGATGACCTCAAATCCTTCTTCAACCCAACATAAAAGAGCATTAATATCTTCCATCGATCCATCTCCTAATCCTTTTATCTTTGCCTTTGAGTCGTCTGCATGACATTGCATTTGGAGGGAGGTGGGAAATTCCTACGTGGAGACAGATTGCAGCCAGCAAAAGCAGCCAGACCAAATGTCTGAGCTAGACGGAAGTAAAGGATCATCACCTTTGGAGAAAATTATCTGTTGGGAATTATTTTCCAAAAGCAAATGGACATTTAGTGGATTTTGTTCAAGCTGTGGTGATTATGAAGATCCTGGTGTGGAAGCAAAAGGAGTCCAGATTGCTCTTGTGTGTGAGGAAGTAGAGGGCTATTTATTTTATCTATCTATCTATCTATCTATCTATCTAGCCTTGGGGCAGTTAGGATTTTATTTCTTTTTTTTATTTGGATCAGTTTATGAAGCAACAATTTAAGGGGGAAAATCACTGCAAGAAGACCTAAAGCAACATCATTATACTCATTCCTTTTCTCTCATACACCTCTGCCCTCCCAGCCCTCTGGAGTTTTCTCTTTTCTGCTTCAATATTGCTGTCCCAAAGAACAGAAGTTTCAGATCAATTGGCATGAGAAGAAGGATAGGGAGGAATCTGAAAAGACCCTGAATTTGGGGCATAATGGTACGTGTGTGTGTGTGTGTGTGTGTGTGTGTGTGTGTGTGAATGTATGTTTGCATATTTTTTAAGAGACACAACTTCTCTTTTTAAGAGAAGTTGCTTAAGGCTGGAGGGAGGTCCAGATGGTTAGGGGTTTTATTCATTCCCATCACCTGTGCCTGTCTTTCTTCTCTCCTGCTGGCTGCTTCCTCTGCCCCTCTGTTGTGTGTTCCCTCCTTCTTGTTGTCCCCTTCTCAGTTCCAAATCTCTTCCCGTGCATTTCACTTGGCCCATGGGAGCCTCTCTGAGCTGTAGATGCTTGTGGTCCTGAGTCTGCAGGAGACCACGTATTTGCATGTTTGTAAAAACACACATATTGATGGCCATTTGCATTATACCTGGATTTTTCCTGGATGTGTTGATGTTGCCATACATCCTGGCAGCTGGCAACAGGACTTTTGTTTCAACATATTCCATCTTCCCCAACACCCAGAACTTGCTTCTCCCGGATCTTACTTCCTTAAACCTTGTCCCAGATCTTCAAGGTGACTGCTGGTGAAGTCTTTGTCTAAATCCTTAGGCATGGCCTGAGTCCTCTGAAGTCAATAGGGTTGGAGAAGGGATCCTGGAAAGTGATGGACATTCTATGGAAGAGTCTTCAGATATCTTTTTTAAAAATCATCCAATGTAGCTTGACAGTAACTTCAGTTGTAAGTGATAGGTAATCAGATCTTTCTGTGAGTGCTCAGAAATCAGAATTCAGTATTTGGAGATAGAGTGGGCAACCTGCAAAAATATGTTTATGAGATATTGACATCTTAAAAAGGATATTGGGAGGACATTCTAGTGTAGATTGTTGAGTGGAATAATGACCTTGCAGGTTATTAATATATACAATTGATTTCAGAGAGAGGAAGTGAGAAGGAGAGAAAGATGGAAACATTGATGGGACAGCAACATCTATTAAATGCTTCTTACATGCCCCCTATTAAGGATCGAGTTTGCAACCAGAGTTGTGCCCTAACCAGGAATCAGACAGGTGACTGCCTGGTGCATGTGACCTGCCAGCTGAGTCACACCAGCTGGGCACCTTGCAGGCCATTTAAAAAATGCATTTATTTCATTCATAACCATTTACTCATTTCATCCATTTATTTATTTCAACACATTTTTACTGTTTGTTTCATGGCTAGATTCCTTTTATCCATCCAGTTCTCATTCTCATTTTAACATATGGACAGAGAGAGAGAGCAAATGCTTTGCCTAGCATATCAATTATAGAAGTGGGCTCTGAACCCACCATGGCCACTGCCCTGACCAGGAGGGGCAGGGGAGAGCCTGGCACCACCATCCAGCATTTGGATCACTCCTTCTTACCAAGGCTTTCCTAAAGAAGGTTTCCTTATCTAGAAAGCAAGTAGATTCCCCTTCACAGAGAAAAAAAACAAACAAAAACCATTGAAAGTCTTCATGCTGCAGGACATTGGCAAACCACCCTCCTTTCTCAGGGGGAGATGTTGTGATTAGCACAGGGACTGCTTTTCTTGGGGGCTGGAGGTCATTGCCTTGGAGGAGAGACACCCAGGAGCCAGGGAGGGGGTGGGAGAAGCATCCTTCTATTTTGGGCCTAAGAAATGGAGGATTTATTGCTTTCATGGAGACAGGCTGGAGGCAGAAGTCTAGGGCAGGCTGGGGTGCCTTGTTGGCTAACCCCTGGGGCTGGTGAAAGTCTGGTGGAGGGAGGGGGTTAGATGGGATTCCGCCTGCACCTTGAACTGCTATAAATTTAAGGGGCCTGCTCTGACCCACTGGCCAGGAAGCAGGCTCCAGCTGGGTCTGTGGGGCCCTTTGGCTCAGGAGCCCTCCCAAGCCAGTCAGTCTCCCCTTGGTGTCTGAGCTGAGCAGTTGACCCCAACATAATGAGACCACGACGTGGGTGTCCAGGGCTAGCTCTCCCTCGGGCTGCTTCCCTTGGAACCAAATCAATATTCATTAATGATCTGCCTCCCCCCCTCCCCCATCCCCAGTGCCTCTGGCTTCACAGAGGGCCTCTGTTGCACCAGGCTACCCAAGTCATTCATTAACCACCAAGCCGGGCAGTCCGCGAGGCTATGGAGGGGCTCGCAGGGGCCAGCCCACCACCGAGGTATTTGCAAAGGTCATTAATGAACTAATCTGATTTAACTTTTCAAAACAGAGGCCGGGTCGTGGGGGTCAGTCTACATTTCCCAGCATTGTGAGTGAGAGCGGGTGGTGGGGAGGCCTGTGACCTTCATCGAAGAAGAGAAAATGTGTGGGAGGCGCTGAGAACTTAGGAATTAAAAAGTCACCACCTCTAAATCCAGAGAGGCCTGGGATGAAAGGTGGCAGGGCCCTGGGCTGTCCTGGGGATTATCTTCAAGAGCCTTTCGATTCCTGTTCAGGTTCGTCACCTCCTTTCCCTCTCCTGGGGAGAGCACAGGAATCTAAAACCAAGGACCCCTGTGCCGCCTACCTTATTCCGAGCCAGCCCAGAACAGTGGTGGAATACACAAGCTGCAGAGTTCTAACTCCAGCCCAGGGAGCTTGAGCAAGTCTGCTCATCTCTCTGAGCCTCAGTTTGCTCATCAGTAAAGCAGAAACAATAATGGTACCACCTAAGGTTGCTTTGAGAATTTTATTTATTTTTAAATATATTTCACTGATTTTTTTTTTTCCCAGAGAGAAAGAGAGAGGGATAGTTAGAAACATCAATGAGAGAGAATCATTGATCATCTGCCTCTTTCACACCTCCTACTGGGGATGTGCCACAACCAAGGTACATGCCCTTGACTGGAATCAAACCTAGGACCTTTCAGTCCGAAGGCCGATGCTCTATCCACTGAGCCAAACCAGTTTCGGCTGCTCTGAGAATTTAAGTAGATAATGGAAGGAAAGCATTTAGCACAGGATCTGGTGCATCGTAAATTCTCAAAAAAAATGTAACTTTAAATAATAATAATAAAAAAACAAGGTAGCTATAATTTTTTGGCTGGGAAATTTGGAAAAGCCCCGTTGTAGAGGATGGAGACACAGAAATGGATCTGCCCTACCACCAGTGGCCTGCGTCACCTTACTCAACTAGGAAGTGTCTCTGTGTAATGAAGACACAGCTTGACTTACTGTTGATCAGTTGTTCTCCCCCCAACCCAGCAGGCCAGTGAGGGATTGATTGCCTGACCCATTTTACAGATGGGAAGCCAGAGGCTCAGGCCTCAAGTGACATGCTCAGAGTCATGCAGTTTGGGGTGGGAGAGAGAAAACGTGAACATAGACCTGCTGGCTTCCAGTCCAGGGTGTGCACTCCCATTGAGCAGTATGAAGGGCAGGCACCGGTGTAAAGACTTGGTCCTGTCTTTGTCTGGGGTCCTCTGCAGTCTCTGTCCCTGGAGCCCATGGTGTCCCCACACTGCCCACTTCACAGCCCTGCTCGGGTTGGCCTCTTCCCCAGAAATTAAGGCCTGTTGGGACATTGATACCATATTCCCTACACCTCGAACTGCCTCTTCTGGGTCTCATTTCCTTCAGCCTTGTTTCTGCTCTCCAAGGGACAGCTGGTGAACTCCTCATCAGGAGGCCTGGCAGGGTCCTCTTTCTACCCGGACAACACATAGGCTGTATTTAGCTTCACCAAGACTTCAGTTGGTTGAGTCTTTGCAATTTTCCCAAATTTGCCACTTTTCTCCACCAAGGGGTCTGAACTAAGTCATGTGGCTCAACTAATGTTTTCCCTTGGGAAGACACACACACACACACACACACACACACACACACACACAGTCACTCAGAGCTGAAAATATGCTGGTTCTGCTGCCCTCTGGCGTCCAGTTGAGAAACAGCCAGCACACACAGCTGCGAGTCAATCAAGGTGTGGGACCAGACTTCTATTTGTGGGGTAAAGATCTTTGTTTCTTTGGTGAGAGGAGAAATGGAAAGGGTAAGGGCAATGCATTTTGGGAGCAGAGCAAATGGAGTGACTATACTTCCAGAAACAAGTGAGGCTGCACACAGATTGAACTATTGTAGAAGTGTGTTTTCAGGGGTCTAGGCCAATCTCAACCCGTCACAGGCATTCCGTAGGTCTTGGAATCTGAAACCCCAAAGGGATTGCAGCAGCAAGTGAATCCAAACTCTCACATTTTATGGAGAAGGAAACTGAGGCCCAGGATTAGAAAGCCTGTTAATATCAGAGCTGGGCTGACCAACAGCTTCCTGACTCTAGACTTGCTTCTCCTTCATTTCCCCTCCTCTCCCTAAATATCATCATCATTAAAATCTTTGTCATCCTAATGGTGAACTCTGAACCCTTATGTTGAGTCAGTCACTGTGCTGAGATTGTCACATTTGCTATTTTAATTCATGCAATAAGACAGTTTTTGTCCATTTTGTGGATAAAGAAACTAAGGCTCTGAGAGATAAAATGCTGGCTCAATTATACAATAAATAAGTGGCAGACCTTCTAGCTTTGGTAGAAGGCTTTCTATTTTGTCCTCTATGCTATGTTGAGTTAAGGGCCCAGTAAAAATAATTCCCTGGAGTTTGTAGTGGAGCAATAATAGTACGGATGACCCTTGAACAATGGGAGGTTAGGGGCACTGTCCCCTGTACTGTGTCAAAAATCCAAGTATCACTTAACTCCCCCAAAACTTAACTAACTACTAACAGCCTGCTGTTGACCAAAAGCTTTACCAATAACAAACGATCTATGAATAAATATTGAAACAAATCCGCACACAAGTGGACCTGTGCAGTTCAAACCTGTGTTGTGCAAGGGTCAACTGTATTTACGATGTGCTGGTACTGTTCTCAGCAAGTCACATATATTAACTCATTTACCCTCATATTGTTCTTCTAAAGTAGTACATTATAGCACTATTATTATCCCCAATTTATTGCTGCGAAGACTGAGGCACAAAGAAGTTCTTGGGTGCCACAGATAGTCAGCGCAGAGAAGGTGTTTCAGCCCCAGCTGTCCAGCTCTGTTGCCCATCTTTGTTCCTGTTGTTATTATCATCACAGAGAGATAATTGGGAGACATGGGCTGGGCTTTGAGGCCATGGGAACCCCAGGTGGGAAGCTGCAAAGACAATCAGGCAGGCAGCTGTCCAAACCAGTGTGCTCTGCCCCCAGCCCATGTGTTGGGGTGGATTCATGGTTAAGGCCTGAGACAGCGGAGTAGCCAGACTTGAGTTAGTCACTGACCATTGTTTTCTAGCAGTGTGTGTTTGGGTTTGCTATTCAACCTCTCTGTACCCTAGCTTCCTCATTGTAATATGGGGAGACCAATAGCACTCACTTCATAGGTCAAATATTACTTTTTATTACTCACATAGGCAGTAGAGATCTTAGCACTTCAGATCCATGGAAATAAGGCTCAAAATGAACATTTATTTAAATTTTTTTATTTATTATTATTTTTTTTAATGAACCTGTATTAACACTGCTGAGAAAAGCCTCCTGTTTTGATGGAGTGTGTCTAGATCATGGATGACGTTTCCTTAGTATGGCCACTAGATGGCACACATGCTATTTCCTGCCTGACCTGGACCTGAGTCTTTGGGCAGAATCAGAAATAATTTGCCCCAGGTGGAAAGCTACCTATTATGGGCCCGACACTGGGCTGCACGCCTTGCCTACATTCTTATTTACTTCTCACAGCAATCCTCATATTAAAAGAGGCATTCCAACCAAAATGCTAAGCGAGCACCTGGTACATGGTAAGGCCTCAACATTTTTTGCTATGCTTCCCATTATTGTTGCTTTTATTCCCATTTTTATAGTTAGGACTGAGGCACAAGTAGGATAATAGGTAGATGGAGCCTGGAGTCAAACCTAGGCCAGGTTGACTGCAAGTTCAGTATCCTTTCCCCTAAATCTCATTTCAGGGTATTGAGGGGTGCCTTGGGCTCACGTCACAGTCCGCCCATTATGTTTACTTATGTTCTCTATTTATTTTCTGGGTCTACCACTTTCTTACTCCTGTGTGATTATAAAATAGTTACTTAGGCTTTCAGAGCCTCTGTTTCTCATTTGAACAATAGAAAGCATAATACCTTCCTAACGTTGGAGACGCTTCAGAAATAGCAACTAAACCAGAATTGATATTCCATGCATGATGGTTACTGTTATTAATGCCTTACATGTTAACATGACCAGACTTTTCCCCTTCCTTCCTCCCTCCCTTCCTTCCTATTCTATCCTCTCTCCCTCTTTCCTTCCTCTTCTCCTTCCTTCCTTTCCTCTTATGCACCTGGAACTACAGTGCACTCATAGTTCCTGCCCTCATGGACCTTACAGTCCAAAATGCCCTAGTCTCTGTTCATTCCTGGGACAATGCCACTCTTAGGATTGCTATAGGCCACAGCAATCTGGGTGCCACCACCTCTGCATGACCAATGTCTGCAGGCCACACAGCTCAGACCCCATCTTCTTTCCTATTATGCTGCTCCAAACACACGCAAGCCCACAGATTCCTTGGATTCTGCTAAGCATTCTAAAATCCTGCTACCTGACTCCATTCAGTCCATTTCACCAGTGGCTTCCAAATGGGTGTTGGCATCCAAAGAGTCTTCCAGGATGCCTGGGACTATTGCGAGGGAGACCCGTGATAAGAAGATGGGGTCTCACGGGCTCATCCTTGCTGACAATATAACAGCTCTGGTTTAATCTGGATTGTATTCTGGGATTTCATCCATATTCTGCTGCTAAAGAAAAACATAAAAAAACTGTTCCTCTCTACTATGATAGGTGGGAAGGAGATTAATTTTGAGATAATTCAGAGAAAATCTCCAGGAAAGAGAAAATGCTTGGGAATGTGACTTAAAATTAGTTTCTACCAAGCTAAGTGAAATAGGCAGAGAGAGAAAGACAAATACTGCATAGTGTCACTTATATATGGACCCTAAAAAATAAGTTAAACTCATAGAAACAGAGCATAGACAAGTAGCTGCCAGGGGCTGAGGGTGGAGGAAATAGGAGATGGTAGAAGGCTACAAATGTTCAGCGATAAGGTGAATAAGGTTTGAGGATCAAATATATAAAACAGTGATATAGGTGGTAATACTGTATTGTATACTTGCAATTACCTAAGAGAATAGAACTTAAATGTTCACATCCCTCTGAAAGAAGATAAATAAGTGTGAGGTGATGGATGTGCTAATTAAAACGTGGGCTGGGATTCTTTCAATGTATACATACATCAAATCACAGTCATGTACCTTTCAAATATCTTACCATTTTGTCACTTATACTTGAACAAAGCTGAAATTAAAAAAAAATAGTTTTCAAGGAAAACAGGATATAGTTTTTGAATCAGTAATTTGGTGGCTGTCTGGAACTCCACTTTCACTACCACTGACTTGACTAATTGGGGCCGATTGCATACTTCTGATTTTGACCATGTCCTGCCAATCTGCTGCTCAGTTGGCTCTTTCTGTTTTTCAGTACCTTGGTTCCCAAGGACCATTCAAGATCTGGACAGATTTGCCAACCAGATTCTCAGCTATGGAGCAGAACTGGATGCAGACCACCCCGTGAGTCCATGGCCCTGCCCATGAGATGCTTTTGGTTACTCCCCATGCTACTCTGGAGCAATGTGTCTTTGTTTTCTTGTACAGCAGCCATTTATTGAGTGCCTACTCACACACCATCATCATTATCATAGCCATTATTGTTGTTGGCTCAAATATGAGTTATCTAGAAACTATTGTTTATATCTGATATATGCATATAAGTGTGTAGACACACCCACAAACACACTCAGATACGTAAGTAATCTTTATTTCTCTGACTTTCTACAATTACAGAGGTTTAATTCAAGTGCTTGGAAGACAGCAAAGTCTACTAACAACTCTGCCAGATCCAGGGGTCATGGGGAGTGGTGACATTGAAATGGATCTTGAAAACTGAGTGGAAGATGCTAGGCAAACAAGGAGGCAGGAGGCAGTACATGAAGGAACAGTACATGTGAAGGTTCAGGGTCCTGAAAATACCTGGAATATTTTAGAAGGGCTGGCTGGTGTGGTAGGTGTGAGGGTCAGGTTTTAAAAGATGGAGAACTCAGACTGCGACCCATGACCTGTGGGCAGGGGAGTGGGTCCTTTAATGGCTTCTGGGTAGAGGACCATTGTGGTGAGATTTTATCCCCATTTTCTCTGGGGTTGGGGGTCCTAGGATGGAGCAGCCCAGCCTCGCTCAGAGCTAGTTCTAGCAGCCTCTATAGGCAAGAGGTGTAACCATGATCATGTTGACTGTTCTTTACTGTCCGTCCAGGCAAGAGACTTCATTCATCTTTAAATGACTTGAAGGCTGTTTCCATTTGCAGTGGGTTAGTCTAACACTAAGGGACTGTCTGTATTTTACCCACAGTCTAATTTCTTCTCATGTCACATGGGTCCTTACAGTTGAGTAAGTTGTGAATGATCCACTTTGACATGTCTGGGGCCTCTTGGCTGGAGGCCCTGAGAGCAAGGCATCTTCAAAGATATGGTTTCTGCCCTAACTGGTTTGGCTCTGTGGATAGAGTGTTGGCCTGTGGAGTGAAAGGTCTGAGGTTTGATTCCAGCCAAGGGCATGTACCTGGGTTGTGGGCACATTCCACTAGGAGGTGTGCAGGAGGCAGCTGATCGATGTTTCTAACTCTCTATCCTTCTGCCTTCCTCTCTGTAAAAAAAAATAAATCAATAAACATATTTTTAAAAAAGATAGGATTTCTCTGCAAAGCTGTCTGATGACCTTTGACCCAGACAATGGGGTTGGCCCATTGTGGCCTTTCTCCTCTTACCAAGCTCCAGAGCCCTTGCCCTGCCCCACATCCCTTTCGTTGGCCACACCCCGTCATTTGGGGATGTGAGAACAGAGGCTAGTCCTTAGACCTGGCCATCTCCCCACCTCTGTCCTGGTGCCTGCCTTCTGAGAGGCAGATGGGGCTGATCTTAAAATTCTGGAGTTAATTTCTCCTTACAGTCTCAGCCCACGTCTTTGGCTCCCTGGCCTCTCAGTGACATGCATTTTATCGTAAAAATATAATTTATCAGGTACACTGTTCCCTTGAGGAGAGGCCAGGCTCTTCCCGTTCCTTCCCGTGGCTTCTCATCCCAGAGATGGGCCAAGGTCAGAACAGGCCCTCCAGGGTGTGGGTAGAGGTGTTCCTTGGAGAGGACCCTCTGTTCCTCTGTCCCACAGGCTCCGGAGGGGTGCACCTTGCCCTGACCCCTGCTCTTGGCAGTAGGCACTAAGGTTTGACCCAATAGCCCACACCAGGGCCTCCAACACAGCCCAGCTGGAAAATGAGCCAGGGAGGGATTGCTCCTGAGACAGAGATGAAGGGGAATGAAATAGACTAGCTGTATCAGTTCCTCCATCTCTCCATCCCTCTATCCCTGTCCCCTGTCTTCCTTCCACTTAATGTTTATTAAGCGAATGATATTCAGAGCTAACATTTCTTGAGTGTGGATGTGTACCAGACACTATGCTCAATGCTTTCCCTGCATTTTAAAAGCTTAAATGTTCTAATCCATGGGAAGGTTGTACTTTCTCATTTTCCAGTGAGAAATCTCAGCCAGAGAGGGCTGTGGGCTCCTGTGTCTGTGAGTTGTGTCCCAGGCCATGTGCAGGGAAGGGGGCTGAAATGATTAATAAAACAGGATCCCTTCCTTCCAGGAGCCTCCAGTTGTAAAGGTTGAAACAAGAGGGTGAGTGGCTACTCTTCCAAAGGGATGGCAGAGGGGATGAGGGTGGCAAGCAGAATGCAAGTGGGTCTGTTTGATTTCCATTTCTAAAAGCAATTCTCCTTTCTCCAACTGTTCTCAGCCTCTGTGCTTGGTTCACATTGCTTCCTTTGCAGGGATGCTTTTCCTTATCCCCCAGATGCCCCTTCCCTGCTGTAAGGCTTCTATTTACTTTTATTATTATTATTATTATTATTATTATTATTATTATCAATTGTTTAAAATTTTACATATGTCTACTTTTCCCCAAATTAACCGCAACTCCCAGCCATTTCTACCCTGGGCAAGCCCCACTGCCTCAGTGTCTGTGTCCATTGGTTATGCTAATATGCAAGCAATATTTACTTTTAAGGCCCAACTCACATATCTTGGCCTCCCTAGAGCCTCCCATCCACCTGGACCCCAGGCCCAGTGGTTCCCACACTCATGCTGTAGAGCTGTGTCATTGTGATTTATACTTTGAGCACAGAGTATCAGGTCAAAATAAATTCACCACTTCATAACTCATAATAACCTTCAGGAGCCATAAGACATATGCAAGTGGAGGGTCATATTCATGTGTCCTGAACTAGAGTCTATGAAAAAGATCTCATGATCAAAGGGAGAAACACTGTGTTCTAAAACCCCATTTTCAGCATTTACAAGTTCCATGGTCTCATTAGAGGCTTTGGAAATCCTGCAAAAAAGAAACTCATTTCACCTAATGTTTCTCAAACTTGTTTACCCATGGAATCCCTTACTGACCCTTAGCATCATTATCTTGAATGGTAGTGTTCCATGGAATATAGTTTGGGTATTATTTGGCTAAATCATAAAGCAAAAAGAGTGTATGAGTAAGTACCAGGTTTACTGCTATGCTATCAGTTTTAATGTCACTGTGGGAAGAATGGTTAGGAAGGACTTCCCAAACAGGGAGATCTGAGTTAAGCCCTCTGGTAACCAGGGTAGGCTAACTGCTTACTTATCAGACAGCCCCCAAACCTCCATGGCTTAACCCAAGAAAAGTTTATTTCCAGTGTAGTCAATAGGGAAATTGCTCCATATGTAGAGATCAAGTCTCCTTCCAACTAAGAGCTGCACCATCTTCCAAGTCCTTGGAGTCTGAGCCTGGTGCCAGTGCCTGGAAAAGACAGAATGGCTCATGGGAGGTTCACATGGGCCAGGATAGAAGGTGACTCACATCTCTTCACTCAAATTCCACTGACTACAGCTCAGTCATAGGCCCACAACTAACCTGGTAAGGATGCAGAGAAAAGTAGTTTAGCAATATTCTCAGAGACAATGAAGGAGATACAGTGACCCCTACCACTCAGAGCTCTCTCTTTCAATTTCCCCAACACCTGCCCCCATGTCTAAACTCTAGATGAAGACCCACACTGCAGAAAGCTTTCAGTGGGGAAAATGTGAGCAACCAAAAACTGTCCTGTGTTTATTTCTGTTCTTGATCCAAGTCTCTCAAACTGTTTTTCAACTTGCCAACAAGAACCTGCTCTTCCCCAAGACCAGGGACTATATTTCCAATACTTGTCTCCTTTTCTCTTCCTTCTGCCCACTCAACCTTCTCCACCTGAGGGCCTGTCAGAATCTATCCTAAAAGTCAGCCAGTAGAGTCATCATCAATGACTTGTAGGATTCTAACTAAGTTGCTCTGACAAAGTGTAATTTTTAAAAAATTAGAAACAACTGTTATACAGGTATATATAGTGAACATGTGTCAAAGATCCATGGATTCAGAAATGAGGGACCCAGCAAGATGACAAAGACGGTGCAAAGGAAGACACAAGAGACCAAAGTATAAATGTTTTTTGAAAAATAGAGTTCTGGAATAAGATCAGAAAGATGGTTTCACAAATTACCAATGTCCTAGAAGGCAGGGAAGCTGTAACTGTGAGTGTTCTCTTTTCTACTAAACACAAATCATTTGCAACAGGATCATAAAATAAAATATATTAGAACTAATATTTTGGAATAAATATTCATCAGTATCCAACTTTGAAGTGTTGGGGCCTTACTAAGTTGTAAATTGCACTTCAAGCAAATGTCTGTTCCCCTGGAGCACCCAGTGAGCTTGTTAAATAGTGATCTGATAGGATTTTGAAAAGGCACCCCATTACGTTTGCTTTGCTTATGTTTGCATAATTTTTAATAGGTCTTACTCAGGAGTGTGCCAAGTATGCCGGGTACAGAAAATCCAGTGATAAGTAAGACAAACAGATTCCTGAATTAAATAATTATTAACAAGTATAATGATTGTGCCATGCCGGTGTGGTTCAGTGGTTGAGCATAGACCTATGAACCAGGAGGTCACTGTTCAATATCTAGTCAGAGAACATGCCTAGGTTGCAGGTTCCATCCTCAGTAGTGGGCGAACAGGAGGCAGCCAATCAATGATTCTCTCTTATCGATGTTTCTATCTTTCTCTCCCTCTCTCTTCTTCTTTGAAATCAGTAAAATTATGTTTAAAAAATAAGTATAATGATTGTCTAAAAGGAAAAACACTCAGATTGCTGAGAGAGTGTATTGTAGAAGAAAACCAATAAACTGGAAAAATCAAGGAAGGTGTGATGTAAACCAAGATAGAAAGACTGAGTAGTAGTTTATTGGTCTGAGAAAGTGAGGAAGAGTATTCCAATTAGAGGGAATAGAGTGTGTGAAGGCCTCCATGTGGGGGGTAAAGCGTGGTGTGTTTAAATAATTAGAATAAGACCAATCTGGACAAATTTGGAGATATAATATGTAGTTGTGCAGAGAGTAGGAAATACACTAGTAGGTAGGGCAGGATCACATAAAGCCCTAAGGACTATGCTCAAGATTTTGAACTATATCCTAAAAGTGATTACAAGCCATTGAAAGTTTCTAAGGAGGGGAGCAACCCTACCAGATTTGCATTTTGTTAAATTTACATGGGCTAAAGTGAAGAGAGATGGTTTTGGGGAGGAGACAAAGAAAGCAGCTACAGTTGACATTAATATTACTTTTATTAGTTCCAGTCTGTGTGACTAAAGATGGCATTTCTGAGGTTTAAGCTTAGCTATGATATCAGGAAATAATGATATAAGATCTCTATCTAGAAGGATACTCAGAACTTTTCAATATAGCTACCCTTTTTTCCCAAAGCCTCCCCAAAAACAAAATCACATGCTACAACACACTCAGGTAACAAAAATCCTGAGAATAAGGAAAGTAATCGTGTGTAGACTGTACACTGTAGAATTCTCTATACTTTCTTCCATCTGTCCTCCCCTCTCCCGCCTTCCCCTCATCACTTCTTCACCAGCAATCTATTTTCCTGTCAAAACATACTTGGTTACCCGCAGTGCAACTCAAATTGCTGCTATTAGCCTAATTGAGACAGGGTGATTATAAATAAATTACATGCAGTGTTTCTGACATTGCTGCTGTTAGACTAAATTGGACAGGATGATTAGTCATCACCGACCATAGCTTCATTCACAGTGTGTTCCACGTGGTGTGGAGGCCCTGTGGTCCCCGGAGCTCATAGGATGGAAGACCAGCTCCCTGAGAGATGGACTTCCAGGTTATAGCTCCCTTTCACTGGTAATAAGAAGAGCAAAAGCCTATGCAGTCTAGTTGATGGGATTCCCCTTGCAGGCTAATAATGAACTTTTTAGTGACTTTGAGTTGAAAAGAACCGTGGTTAGAAACCATCCCACAGAGAGAATCCGTATGTATGTTGATGTATCTCAATGGGTGAATTTGCTGCCACTCTCCATAATTATTTGAGATGGATTTATACTTTTATTTTACTTTTTTCTAGCTATTAAAAACACCCTACACACAGCAGAAAACTTTAAAAGCATAAATAGTATATAAGACTAAAACAGTTATTTTTTTTCTCATTTTCATAACTTTTGTTAGGCTTTGGTGTACTTCTTCCACCATTTCATGAATATATTTACCTATTTCTCTGACAGAGTTGACATTTATTGGATATATGAATTTATTGCAAGCTTTTTTTTCACTGATGGAAAAAAATATTTAAACTACCTAGACAAAGTACATTACAGATTAAAGATAGAGAGTCTAAAAGGGAACATACATTGTCTTGGACACCCCATTTCTGGATATGACATGATGAGGTGGAAATCCATGGGTTATGGACATCCTTCTCTTGTCTCCCTTTTTTAGCTTCAACCTCAAACCTCTACTCATCAGCCTGGTTAGGACCAGAAAACCTGTGTGGAGATCTTGGTTCTTTAGTTGAGGGTTCTTGGGCAGATGGTTCTCTGAGCTTCCCCTTCTTCAGATGTAGATCAAAGTATAGAACTAGATGTTCTTCAAGGCATCTTGCAAGGACAAAAGTCTACATTTCTTACCTAGGGGCTGTTTAAGCCATTTACTACTGACTGTTAAATAAGACTGGGAGGTAAGGATGACAGTCACGGTCAAGCTTTAATGATTGACACCCATTAAATTTATATTTTGAGTTCTCAGATTGGAGATGCTTTGTTCTTTCAGCCCAGTAGATGACTTCATGAAAGAGTATGTTGGTGCTGCTTGGAAATAAAATCATGGTGCCCATTTTTCCTATCACATCAACTGATCTTCTCCCAGAAGAGTAGACCCAATGGTAGTTCTGATTTTTCAGAGTTCTATAGCAATTACTGATGAAAAACAATGCAATGCTTTGGGAAAACAAGTTATACCTTGTGATAATCATGTCATAGAAATTTTCTAAACTAATAATTACTTAACTTATCTGGAACTTAGGTGTGGAATGAAAAAAAAAGTCTGATAATTTTACTTTTCCATGGTGAAACATTTGGATTTCTCTATTTCTCAAATCATATACATATAAGTAAGATCATACAGTATTTGTTTTTACTGATTTCACTTAGCACTATGCCATCAAAGTTCATCCATATTGTCAGAAGTTTTTTCTCTTCTGTTTTATGGCTGAATAAATACTCATAGGCAATGGAATATTATTCATTCACTCATCAGTGAACCCTTAGGTTATTTCCATGTCTTGGCTATTGTGATTTATGCTACACTTAACATGAGAGTGCAGTTTTCTCTTCAAAATAATGTACCTTACAATTGTGTTGTCAGAGTTATACATAAAATAAGTTTCTAGCACACAGAGACTGGCACATAGTAGACAATCAATAAATGGTATTTTTTAAAAATTGCAATGGCAGTAAGCATGTACTGTTTATCTATCAAGAAGTTAGGAGGCAATTCTAAATACCATTAGTCAAACACTTACTGGATATTGTATATCTTTATCGTATATGTCAATCCTACCAGCTTGGTCTAATTTAGCAGGTTTACAAGTTAGAAATGCTTATGAATGAGATTTCTTTAAAACCTGTACATTATTTACACTTTGGAATCCCATGGCATGGGGCTCAGTAAATTAAGGGCATTGCTAATAATGCATCTCTCATATTGGTGTGAGAGCTTACCTTTGGTTTAGCTGAGAATTTATTTTCAGGGTATATTCAAGGGAAGGAGCTCAAGGCTCTCACTCAAAGCCTTGAGATACCAAGTGTCTCCTTTCTCCTAGGGCTTTAAAGATCCTGTGTACCGAGCAAGACGGAAGTATTTTGCTGACATAGCCTACAACTACCGACAGTAAGTCTGCTTGATTGTTGGGGGGAAGAGCACACTCCTAACCTGCCTCTTCCTTGCCTAAGTTTGGAAAACACCAGCATGAAGAATCCTGCCTGCTGTGTGTGTGTGTGTGTGTGTGTGTGTGTGTGTGTGTGCGCGTGCGCGCGCCCATGTGCACAAACACATGTAGAGCCCCTTTTAATAACACCTGTTTTAAAAAAATGCTACTAGACAAAACAAAATTACCCAGTGCACCAGGGCCTATCTCTCTATCAGGCTTTGTTGTGTAATTACGCTGCGATATTTGATGTAATTATAAAAGGCCTCAGTGCTGAATAAAAGAGCCTCTGGCATTCTCCACATTAAACATGGAAAGAGAAAGAGCATCATTTACATTCAGGAGTTGGCTGCTTTGCTGAAATAATGAATCTGAGGTTTCAGGCACACCAGCCTCAGTGTTCTTCTTTCATCCCAGCTGATCCAGCTGAGAAGGGCAATTTTCAGATGAGTGTCTTTTTCCCCCTGTCTAGGATTCTATGCTCCTCTTCTGCTTTCTTTTAGCCAAAGGAAAATGCAATTATTAAATATGTTATTTGGGCTGAAACCAATTTGGCTCAATGGATAGAGCATCGGCTTGGGGACTGAAGGGTCCCGGGTTTGATTCCAGTCAAGGGAATGTACCTTGGTTGCGAGCATATCCCCAGTAGGGGGTGTGCAAGAGGCAGCTGATTGATGACTCTCTCTCATCGATGTTTCTAACTATCTATCTCTCTCCCTTCCTCTCTGTAAAAAAAAAAAATCAATAAAATATTTTTTAAAAATATGTTATTTGGAGGAGAACTGGTGAACTATTGTGAGTTTCCCCAGGAACTTCAGATGTTCCCGTGGGAAACTTAGTGTCTGAGCTCTGTTCCTAAGTTAAGGGCATGAGAAAAGGTGTCTACAAAAAGAAACTTAGCAATTGACCAGAACCCTGAGTAGTGGTTCTTTAACAATTTTGAGGGAGACAAAAGAGATGGTAGAGCTCTGTATACAGAAGACAAAGTCATCTTTCAAATGAGGAACTTAGATTTACTTAACTCCACAATTATTCTCAGTCTCTTCCATGGGTGTCTGGGGACTCTCAGAAGCAGGAGACTGTACTTCTCCATAGATTTCACTTTCTGCTGGTTTCTCTCCTCCCTTTCTGAGGTTTCTTCTCATCTCCTCTGGCCAATTCCTCCCACCCCAGAAATTGTAACATTTTTTAGGACTCAATTTTGGTCCCCATCCTTAGCTTCTGCTACCCTCAATGCCAACAACCCCCACATTTGGGTCTCTAGTGCCTTCTCAATAATTGTCCCACATGGGGGTCAAATTTATGCACCATGAATCATAGAGTCCCAGTATAGTGATCAGTTGATAAAATGTGTCTCCAAATAATCCATGTAATAGCTTCACAGGCTCAGAAAGGTTTACTAAGATGCCCAAGGCAATTTAGTTGTGAACTGGCACAGCCAAGTATTGAACTCAATTCTGTTTGTGTCAAAAGCCTGTTCTTTCCCTTCATCAGCACTTAGCCCTGAAATAATGGTGCAGCCTTAGGTGGGGATCCACCTGATGTCCTTTCCACAATCACTTCTGGCCATTACAGAACCCTCTGAGCATGTTTTGCTTTCAATACTTAAGCAAAAATCTGTCTCTGCCCCCTGATCCCTGCCCACCTATAGGCCATAGCAGTGACTTTACTTTCCTGTGAGCTACACTTCTGAAAAGGCAGGAGTGATCCAGTTTGGAGCCTAATGATGAGCCATTATTCTGAGATAAACAGTCTTTCCTTGTCCCAGACACTGTGTATCCTGTTAGGAAACAGGCCTCCAGCCCACAGAACAGTCACAGGTCTTCTAAATCAGGCTTTCTTTGGTTTTCTTTTATTTTACTATTCACAATACAGCTCCTTCTTAGATAGTTTTCAAAAGGACCTTTCAAACTGATGACTCTGGAATGATAGCATGTCATCTGGGAACTTATAGGAATCTAGATGCTTGGGCCCTCCTCTCCCCACTGATTCAGGATCTACAGGGCTCCCTGTAGTTCTGTTATGTCATAGCGGAAGATGTTAGATAAGCAGATCTCGTACTTAGCATGCATTTAAATACCTACAGAACTTCTCAGGGACCAACATCTCAAATCCAGCAAGTGCTTGCCCACTAAACAAGGGTCAGTCTTAAACTCATAGTGCACATATTTAATCCACGTTAGCCCACAATTACTTTAGTTGACATAATACAAAACTTTAATTGAACTCGGATGCTTTAATTGAACTTGGATGCCTTTGTTTAGAAAGAGGATGCATTCTTCATTGTCTCAATCCCACACTCCTATTGTCTATACCTGATACTTTATATATTTACATTACCTGCCTGGCCTCTGAAGGTAAATGAAATTCCACCTTAAGTAAACAATGAGAGATAAGAGAGCAAAAAGGCCAAGTGATTTCCCAATGTGACAGCAAATCATTGGGGCAGTTGATGAGGTTAGATCTTGTATCATTGCTTAACCAATTCAGTTGAATGTTTCCTACATCGAGAAGTGGAATTTTCCTCTTTCATACAAGTTACATAATCCATTGGAGTCCAAGTGGTGACAGCTTTGCTATCACTCCTTCATGCACCTGTCCTGCTAGAGACAAATATCTCATGCCTTTGTTCTAGTGGGCAGCCCATCCCTCGAGTGGAATACACAGAGGAGGAAAAGAAAACCTGGGGGACGGTGTTCAAGACCCTGAAGTCCTTGTATAAAACCCATGCTTGCTATGAGCACAACCACATCTTCCCACTTCTGGAAAAGTACTGTGGCTTCCGTGAAGATAACATTCCTCAGCTGGAGGAGGTGTCTCAGTTTCTGCAGAGTAAGTGAACATAGGGATCAAAGGTAAAGGGGCAGGAGGGGAGGGCAATAAATGGAGTCTAGTGTGAGTATGCCGGTGGCAATGCATGTAGATTGATTCTCCCAGGAAAAAATGAAATGTCACTGCTGAGCTCTTCCTCCCTTCCAGCCTCCACCATTAATGTACGCTCATCGCCTCCCTCCCTAAAGGCACAAGACATGGGTTTTACCTATCAATGCCCCTGAAACATTGTAGTTTTATTTTTCATACTCAAAGCCCAGATTGCCCAGTCATGGTTTTCCTTGCATCTCTGCTATGTTATGAGATGGCAGAAGTGTGTCTGTGTGTAAGAAATGTGGGCACTGTGGGCAGTGCTAAGAAAGCCCAAGCTCCAAGTTTATACACCCATCTGGTATGAATCTTGCTTTGGACTTTCTCTAGTTGGATGAGCCTATATCACTTTTGTCATCTGTCCAATGGAGTTTGGGTCAGCATTTTAGCATTTCTTAGAGAGCAGTTGTGAGAATGAAATAAGATTCTGCATGTGAAATCACCAGCATAGTGACACATATATAGTAGGTGCTCAGTGCATTTGGCTAACTTGGACTCACTATCTTAGTGGGGAACCGCATCATTGGGATGACATCACTTTCAAGGAGTTATAAGGATTTTCCTCTCTGACAATAGGTGGTGTCAATTTAGCAAAACCAAACTAAAACAATCAACTAACCATAGTAAACACATACTTCCCCATTTGTAAAGTGGGGATAGTAAAAACATCTACCTCATATGGGGATTGTGAGAATTAGTTATTATGCATAAAGTACTTAGAACAGTGTCTGACAAATAATATGCAATGTATAGCATTAGCTATTATTATAATGATGCTCACTGTTCTTATTCTCCTCCTAAGTATGAAACGAATTGAGAAGAAAATAGAGGAACCAAAGAGATGGAGAACAAAATGACACCTTTATTAATAAAAGCTACTTAGAGAATGCTGTAGAGATGTGTAGCCACCATGGACTTCCTTGCCAATTCATTGGCACAGTGTGTAGTCCATTGCATGGCCAAGAGCAGACCAGAGTGTGCTCCTCTATGGACCAACAGTCAAGAGAGAAAAGGGAAGAAAGTGTGAAATTGTGAATATTCATTGCTCTTCCCAAAGGCCCCAATCAGGGAAGTCACTGGTCCTCATGGGGTGGACTGTGTGAGGTGAGATAGAGAAGCTAGAGAGCTCCTTTCATCCTTTTCCTTCCTGGGAAATACCATGAAAATTTTCTCTATAATCTGGAAATATAAGGAGTAGGGGAATAAGCATTTCGACTTAACAAATAATAATAGAAGGTAAATTTATTGGATGTTTCCAAAGTGCTAGATTCTGTGAAAGTACTTTGCTAGCTCTTTTGATTTTCAAAATGATCCTAAGAAGTATTTATCCACATATTGCAGGTGAGGAAACTGAGTCTCAGAGACTTGAACTTATTTGGCCCATATCACCCAACTAGAAAATATTCGGGTAGATATTTGAAGATGAGAAGTCTATCTGGCATTGGCACCCGTCTCCTGGACAAGAGGGTGTATTGCTTCCCTACCTAAAAATCTTCAGAGCCCTCTGGCTCTGCTGTGATAGGCTTTGAGTTTTCTTTCTCTCTTGATTCCTAGGTTGCACTGGCTTCCGCCTCCGACCTGTGGCTGGCCTGCTTTCCTCTCGGGATTTCCTGGGTGGCCTGGCATTCCGAGTCTTCCACTGCACCCAGTACATCAGACATGGGTCCAAGCCCATGTATACACCTGAACCGTGAGTATTATCCTCCCTCCACCAGTTGCCAGCAACAGTGATTGCCACCTCTCCCTAATCCAGGAACGAGGTTTGGTTTCTTTGTGGACTCATCCGTAGAACAAGTTGCCTGGATTGTTTGATGCTAAGAGAAAAACTCATCGCTTCTGGGGGTTTTTCTCTGTTCAAATAGACCATACTAATTGGAGATAAGAACATCTTGTGAACTAAAGATCCAGAACTTCCCTGACCATGGGAATGAGAGGTCACATTCAAATTTCAAAGGGATTGTAGGAATCAGAACTATAAAATTCCAAAATAGGAACAGAAAAAAGAAATGGCAAGCTATCTCAACACTTTTTAAATACATGCCTACATGATTTTAAGCTTTCTTTGCCTAGATTGTGTTTTGACTGGAAGTAGAGAATTGCTGGCTACTATGCTGCTTATTTTTGCATTTATCTATCTCTTTAGGCAGCTAGCAATTTATACAAAAAGTCAACAGGACATCTAAAATGGTCTTTCCCTGCCTACAAAGCTTATTACTATAAATCAGAAAAGACTTGCTCTTAAAGGACCTGACACATAAAGTGTTAAATCAATGTACGTTTTCTTTCTTGACTGACTGCTGCCCACTCTAGAATAAGAGAGGAACAATTTTATTAAAAATTATTTTTTCATTTCCTGTGGAGAATAACTAGCACATTGTATCTGCCCAGGAATGTCAATGCCAAGGTGAGGACTTGGGATGGGAGGTGTTCATGATCCACAGCCACTCAGGTATCTGGGGGAATGCCAACAGAAATATTGGCTCTTCTGCACCCACTGGCCATACCTAAGACCCCCTGGCTGCTGTGTCCTGTCCTGTCTCTTACTTTTTCCTCCTTCTTTCTTTTTTCTTGTACTCTCCCTCACCTGATCCCAAGGTTGTACACAATTTATTCTTGGAAATAAGAGCATAAACCTGAAGGGATTACTTCCTTTCTCCCCACCCATTCCTTATGTAGAAAGACTGAGTCAGGATTGCTTGTAACCCTTGTTCACCCCCAAGCTCTATGTTTTCTGTCTTTCAGTGACATCTGCCATGAACTGCTGGGACATGTGCCCTTGTTTTCAGATCGCAGTTTTGCCCAGTTTTCCCAGGTGAGGAATGAATCTCTTTAGCCTTTTAGCCTCATGTCTCTGGAAGGTACACTTCTGTGCTACCACCTGAGATGGGTGTATGGTCCTATGGCAATACCCCTTCTAGGATCACAGCATTTGATTTGTTAATCCTTTATCCTCTAAATTATATTGTTGAATTTGCTAAACTCATTTGTCCTTCCAGGTATAGTATAACAACCTTTCATCCATGAAAACTCTCTGATTCCCATGTAGAAGTGACCTTACCTTGTGAAACAGTCATTTGGTGTATGTTTTCATTAAGTAAGATTGCCAAGAATCCAATGCCAATAGCCCTACTCAGAGTTGGCAAAATATAATAAGCCAAATGTTTTTTCACTATCATCAAAACAGCAGGCTAGATCTTGACTCATCTATACCATGGTGACCATGTTAAAAAAAGGCTTTGGGAATCAATGAAAGAATCCTACTAATGCTCTAGGCTTTGAGAGGTGGCCTAGAACCATCAATGGATCATGAGATTGTTGAATGACAAGGCCCTACCATGTCACCAGAGACAAAAAAGATAGCTAGAGAAATTTTGCAGTTAAAGCTGTGATGAGAAGTGGTTCATGAAAGACTCTCCTTTTTCTGTGCCACAGTGTTCTCATCTGTAAAACAAATATAAGGTGCCAGCTAGGGAATCGTTTCCCCACTCTAGAGATCTGTGATTCTATGGTGTGTGGTTAAGGAAGACTTGACAGAACAATCAGAGTCTCTCTGAGCTCTTCTGAAGACACCTCGCCAACTATTACCTTCTGTGGTCAAGTACCTTTATCTTTAACTGAGGATAAAAGTTGAAAATAGGCAGATCTTGTCATGCCAATGACTCTGTTTTTTCATAATTACAGGAAATTGGCCTTGCCTCTTTGGGTGCACCTGATGAGTACATTGAGAAACTCGCCACGGTAAATTCTGTCTTTCTGTGGTGGGAAGTGGAAATGTTTTGGGTTACAGCCCTCAGGTCTCTGAAGCTTTGATCTTCCCCTGAAAGCCAGGTCATTTGGGAAGAAAATCAGAATGCTCTGGGTTATATTTGCAAAAGTATGATTTTGCACTTGTATTTCTCCTTCGTGGTTGGATTTTGAAATCAGCTGCATGCAGATGTTTACATGTGATTCTAAACAGAGTGCCTTGAAAATATCAATAAGCTGTAATGATTGCTCTTGAGAATTCTCTGGCATAAAGTATGTGTGTAATTAGAAGCAATGATTGATATGGGGTCTTTCAGAAATTCCAAGTTTAGTACAGAGGAGGGGATGGCCCTTCACTGATTCTATCACCCTCCTATCACCTGCTTCCCACTGCTGAGCCTGATGGGATTGCCTGGTAAGTTCAAACAACAAAAAGGGAACATCTCACTCTAGTTTATTCCATGAAGAAGAAAGCAAAAGTGGTAGAGGAGTTCCTGTTCTAGAGAGAAGAATTTGTTAGGGGTATACTTTTAGGGCACCCTCAATACTCTCCCCCACTGTCACTGCTTCCTGTCTCATCTTGCATTCAGCCAACTGTTGGTTCAACAGATGATTGGTTAGGGTGAGACACAAGAGACAGAGAGGTGACCTCATGTCATGCTGATTCAGAGAACAAACCTGCACAAACTCTTACTTGGGCAGTCCGTTTATTGATTGTGGGGCATCTGCTGCCTTTACCTCCCTTGGGGTGTGCTCTCAACTTGACTTTCCATTCCAGATTTACTGGTTTACTGTGGAGTTTGGGCTCTGCAAACAAGGAGACTCCATAAAGGCATATGGCGCTGGGCTCCTGTCATCGTTTGGTGAATTACAGGTATGACTCTAGCAGGAACTAACAATAGATTTGAAAATGGTGGAAACAGCTGACCATTCTTTTTTTTCCCTTGGTGCTATGGAAACCCCATTTACATTCATATTGTGATCCAACTAAGGGGATTAACCTGAAGATATTGCTGCCTTCGAAGTTATGATTTGATCATGAGTGTAGGTGTTACTTGAACTCTAAGTTCAGAGGGCTCCAGGACAGAGGGGCCTCCTGATTCCAAGGTTGAACTGTGCCTACAGATGTATGAAAACACATGCCAGCAAATGTGGTTGGCCCCTTCATCTGTTGATCACCTTATTTGAAAATGCTTGCAATGCATTACTTATTTTTATCTTGGTTGTAGGTTTTAGATGAACTATAGAGGGTAGAATATAGCAGATGCAAAGTAATTCAGTTTACTGAATTTGGGCTGTGGTGTGGAAGGAATACAAATGAGGTGTGAGAAGGCACACAAATGGCCTGTGGGATGCAGCAGGGACCATTGGCCCCGATATAACTGAAATTTTTCCACTTGATGTTTGCAGTACTGCTTGTCAGACAAGCCCATACGCCTCCCTCTGGAACTGGAGAAGACAGCCATCCAGGAGTACACGATCACAGAGTTCCAGCCCCTGTATTATGTGGCTGAGAGTTTTAATGATGCCAAGGAGAAAGTAAGGTGAGATGGCAAATAATGCAGGTCAGCAGCTCTTGGTACCTCCTTACTTGCTCTGGTGCCACTGATTGGTGGGTGGTTAGCCACAAGGTGGACTCCAATGCTCACAGCAATAGTGTGCAGTAGACAGAGCCTCCCACCCTTGTCCCTTTCCACCCTCTGTTGGGAGGAGTTCCTTCATAAGACCCTGTTTCACAGCTTATTGTCCTCACATGCCAATCCCTGCAGACTATCTGGCCACCCGATCCTTGTTCAATATAGCTACCAAATCCACAGATTGAACCCTCCTGTGTGCAGAGTGGATACAGAAGTCCCTCCACCAAATCAGTCTTTGAAATCTTATAACCGATGTTCACTTTATTCTCCTAGACACCTGCAGAACTCGCTCCCTGACCTCCTTCAAATCTTCACCCACATTTAACCTTCTTTGTACATATTTCTCTAACCAACTTAGTTAAAAATCACTACTCATCCCTACCCAAGCGCTACTTATCCCCTTCTATGACTTATTTGTTTGTTTTCTACTTAATAATGTCTACTATACTGTATTATAGGATTTAAGATCCATGAAAATAGAGATTTTGTTATTTCTGTTTTCTACTCTTCTCCTAGCCCTTAGAACATTGCATGACACATAGTAAGCACTTAAACAGTAATTAGCAAATGCACCAATTTAAGATCGATGAGGACAGAGATTTAAGATCCATGAGGATAGAGATTTTGTTATTTCTGTTTTATTCTGTTTTCTACTCTTCTCCCAGCCCTTAGAGCATTGCATGACACATAGTAGGCACTCAACAAGTAATTAGCAAATGCACCAATCTCAGGATGTGAGTGAGCTCTGGAACTTGGATATCAAGCCACTGTGCTCCACCAGACTTGATAAACTTGGAGAGCGCTACTAGCCTCCCTTATAATTGTATTCACATTATGGCAGCTTCTACTTTCACCAGAAGCCAACTTAGAAATATAATTTGTGATACCTTTGCATTTTATGGATCATTTTGGAATAGATGATCTTGTTAATTACATTGCTTAACGTGCATTTCTCCCAGACCTAGGAGTAATAAAGAAGAAACAGGCCTACTGAAGTCATACTACCTTGGTCTTTTCAGCTTCACAATATATTGCCAGTATGGCTTTGGTAGACACTTAGCTGCTCCAAGCCTCAGTTTTCTCATCTGTAAAATGGGGGAAATAATAGTACCTTCCTGCTAGAGTTTTTATGAAGATTAAAATGGGAGTGAGAATTATAAAGACTATAAAACAGTAAGAACTTAACATAGTTCTTGCTATAGGGGAGGCACTGGAGCCTGCTAAATTTCACTCATATGGAGTGTTTTCTTCAACTCTTGAGAGCTATATTCCCTCTTTGCACTGATTGCCAAGCATCTCAGAGCTTATTTTTTTTTCTATAACACTCTGTAGCTGGATTCTACTTACTTATTTTATTTTATTTTATTTTATTATTTTATTTTATAATGAGAATTTGGGCCTTATTGTAATCTGGGCTTTTATTATAAACTGCCTATGTCTTTTTTGAAAGTAGGTGACCAAATAAATATGTGTCTACATGTGTTTATATAGTCACATAGGCACACAAACAGCAAAGGGTTTCCAAGAGGACTTCAGTAAAACTCCATCACATGTCTAAAGCCTCTGTTCTAGTGTTTTCTGTGTTACTAATAGCCAAGTGAAAGGCCATTGAAAAACCTTTCAGAATTACTTTTTCCTCAAATGGTGCCCTTCACTCAGATCTATGGTTTTGGTTTCAGAAACTTTGCTGCTACAATCCCACGGCCCTTCTCAGTTCGTTATGACCCATACACCCAAAGGATTGAGGTCTTGGACAATACCCAGCAACTTAAGATTTTGGCTGACTCCATCAACAGTAAGTAACATACCTTTGAGGCCGCTCTCTTTCCCAGAAATCGAGAGTTGTGTTTTCTTATTTTCACAATATAAAGAGGAAGAAATTTATTAAATTTCTTGCCATGTTCTTATGAAGATTAAAATATGAATTAGAATAAAAATAAGAATGGCAAGAACATGGCATGAATGGGAGTAGTTTCATCAGACCTACTTAGTCCAGTGGTCTAGGGTGAGTTATCTACTTAGACTGTAAATTCTCAAACTTACTGTGCATCAGAATCACTTGGGATAATAGTTAAAAATAAATGGATCATAGCCCCAGAATACATTTACTAAATATGTGGTGAGGCTTGGAAGTTTGTATTTGTAATAAGGTCCCAGATGATTCTGACACAGTAGGTTTGTATGAACCACAGTTTTAGGTTCAGTGGCTTAGCTTCTTGCAAGCATCAGTGGATGGTCAAGTAAAAGAGAAACAGAACAAAAGGGGATTTTCCTGGGTGAGAAAACTGTTAACTCCTTTCCTGAGAAGCAGTCTATAGAAAGAGGAAGCCAATTGCATTAATAGCTCTCTTACTTTCTAAAACTTGAAACTATCTAAGCCATGATTGCCCAAATCCTATCACTGTGAGCTCCTTGAGGGTTGAGATGCATCCCAGTGATTTCCTAGTGTTTTACACATTGTGGACACTTGAAGGGTATGTGTTCATGATATGAGTGGCTCATCTATATTTTTTTGTAGGTGAAGTTGGAATCCTTTGCAGTGCCCTCCAGAAAATAAAGTGAAGCCATGGACAGAACCAGGTCCATCAACTAAGAATCTGTTGATAGAAATCCAACTACTTCTTTTATTTTATCTGAGAAAGTCTGGAAATCAAACCTTAATTAGAAATGACAACCTTAAGTCACTTTTTTGAACAAGGTGAAGGAGCAACAAATAAGTCTAAATAATCTGAAATGACAACATATTAATACATACCCCAAAGCATAAAGGTGGATCTTTTGGGGTCATCTTTTGATTTTGAGATGATAATAATATACTCTCAACTGAGTTAAAATGAATAATGTCACTTTATATAAAAATTAATTAATCTGTGACCTGCTTCATGCACATATTTACCATAGAGAATTCCTAAAGGAGTATGTATCACTTAATGTAAAATACAAGTCTATGATCAGAATTGAACTTTGGGGTTTAATATAAATCTTATCCTACAAAAGTCATTTTCTATTTCATTGAACTATGATTCTAATAACTGCTTTACTGTGTTGCCTATAAAGATATTCTTTAGCCAAGGCCGGTTTGGCTCGGTGGATAGAGCATTGGCCTGCGGACTGAAGGGTCCCGGGTTCGATTCCAGTCAGGGGCATGTACATTGGTTGCGGGCACATCCCCAGTGGGGGCTGTGCAGGAGGCAGCTGGTCGATGTTTCTCTCTCATCGACGTTTCTAACTCTCTATCCCTCTCAATTCCTCTCTGTGTAAAATCAATAAAATATGTATTAAAAAAAGATATTCTTTAATTCAGAACCCTATTAAAATAGAAACATTAAAATCCATAGTATAATATAAAAACATTTCTGTATGTTTTATTGTAACCATAAATACTGCTGTGGAAGATGATACTACTCCCCACCTGGCCCCTACAACTTGCAGCATCATTTTCCAGTAATTGTAAAGTTTGTTTGGGAGATATTTGGAAGACGCTTAAGATTTATTAGATGTTAACTAAAAGGTTAGCTGGTAGATATTCAGTAAACAGTAATTGAATGAATAAGGAAATACATTATTAAAGAGCAAATGCGAACTTCTAATTATGTTAAAAATATTTAGTGGTTACAAAATTTTGCACTTTCAAGTGTTTCTTAGAATGAAACATTTCTTTCACTGCCTTAGAAATATATTAGCTGGTTGAAACCGGTTTGGCTCAGTGGATAGAGCGTTGGCCTGTGGACTGAAAGGTCCCAGGTTCAATTTCGGTCAGGGACATGTATGTTGGTTGCAGGCACATTCCTGGTTGGGAGTATGCAAGAGGCAGCTGGTTGATGTTTCTCTTTCATCGACGTTTCTAGCTCTCTATCTCTCTCCCTCCCTCTGTAAAAAATCATTAAAATATATTTTAAAAAAAGAAAGAAATATAGTAGCTGGATAATTTTGTGACAGGAAACAATGGTCAAAGGATCTGATTTCCAATCCATTTCAGGGGCTCATTGTGATCATCTAAGTCATATCTGGATGGATAGTCAACAGACTTCGACTTTTGTTGGTTGTACATTTCACATGAATACTGGATGTCTGAGAAAGAGTGGGAAGGATAATAATGCCTTAAAAACTGTGCTTTGAAATAATTCTCACACTACAGAATTTAAACCTTTCAACACAGTCCAAATCTATATATACAGGCAAATTAATATTGTAAGCAATAAAATAATGAAATGTCATTAACATGAAGCTAAACCTGTGTCTTGAAAAATATAACTTTGGAGATTGAAATAGAAATTTCTTTGATGCTGAAGGCAGTAGACCTTCATTCCTCTGTTCCCATTTCTAACAGTTGCACACCATTTTGAAGCTTCCTTTTCCTTCTAGAGCTATAGAATTACCAGTTTTACAAGCTCCAAAAAGTCAACACTATGCTGCTAATGAATTGTTTTTTTTCCATCTGGGAATATTGTGTTGTGCTCATTTTATGTAACAGTTAACATAAAGAAAATTGATTTAAACATCATCATTCTCCAGAATTTTACTGAGAATTCAACACAAGAAAACACGACTTTGCTTTGCTGCCCAAGCTTAAGACTTTCCTGCCCAAGTGGTCAAACTTTTTGTCTTTCTAAGGGCAGGAACTCCAGACCAATTTTTAAGATAAAAGTCATTATGCTGGCTGGTGTTGCTCAATGGATTGAGCATCACTCTGGGCACTGAATAGTCACCAGTTGGATTCCCAGACAGGGCACATGTCCAGGATATAGGTTTGATTCGCAGCCGGGGTGCATGCAGGAGGCAACCAATCAATGTTTCTCTGTCACATAGATGTTTATTTTTGTCTCTTCCTCTCCCCCTTCCTGTCTTTAAAATCAATAAAAACATGTTTTTAAGTAAAATAAGACATTGATACCATTATCAATGTCATTTCCTGCTCTGAGCACTGCACTCCAAAGCCAACCTTAGAAATAATTCTTGAAAAACCAAGCAGGACATATTAGTCCCTCAACTATGGATGTGATAAGAAAGCATCCTGTTCTTTTAAGAGTACTGCTCTATCACCACCCATTAAAGGATTATAAAATAAATGTCACCAAAATTAGCCATTAGCTATATAGTTTGTAAAAGAATCAACTAATATACAATGATTAACAATGCAATTTATTGCAATTTCTTGAATCCTCAGTAAAACAACAAATATTTATTTGACCAGCTACTTCCCTGCCAGTTCATTAATCGGACCAGGCTCATTAAAATGATTACTGGGTGGGGCATGGGGTAGTGCTTCTGTGGCCCCACTGTGTTGAGCTGATTCAGCAGGTTCTTGTTTCCATCTATGCACCATCCCACTCCTGGACCTCCTTTTCTCTTCCACCCTGGGGCTCTCTGAACTAAAAGGAAGAGTCTTTCATTTTTAAGTCCTGGCTTAGAATTTGCTCAGATGGAACCACAAACCAAAGCTCCATTTTAAGAAACTCAAACCTCAGCATTCCAAAAATCCAGTTTCTATTTGGTTAAATTAAAATCTCCATCTCCTGGAAATACAGGCCAGGACAGTGAGTTTTAAGCCAATCCCAGTATTAGCCTGCCCTGGATTTACCAAGAGTAAAGATTAAAATGGCCATGTGCCCTTGAAGCCCTCACCTGTGCTTTGCCACCTACATCTAGAGGTGGGGCAGAGGAGGGATCTGGAGGAGAAATAGATTCTGGCAGAGGGAAGGGTGAGAGACATCAAAATAGCTAAAGTCTTTAAATCTAAAACGGGAGGTGACATTGAGGGAGAACATGAAAAGAAATTTTCAGATTCGCCCAGGCAATGACATATGCTCCAGAGGGCGTGAAAATGGGGTTCTCAGACCTCCCCAGTCAGCAGGTTGATTAAAACCAACTCCCTCCCTCCCCAACCTCCCTTTCTGCCACTGCCAAAGCCCCAGACTTCTCCACCCATTTTAGGGGAAGATGGGCCAGCTGCTCTGGACCTTAAATATCCAGGAGTGGACTTCAGCCAGAACCACGGACAGCTCCCGCCCCAGTTCTTCTGCCCCTCTGGCCCTGGAGAGCCTCCAGTTCCACTGGAGATGACTGGAGTGTGGCTCCCCAGATAGGCCTCCTCTAGCTCTGCTTTCTCCATCCTCCCAGGGTGTTTTGTTAAGAGCCTGGAGTCATGCCTTGAGCTAGGCACCCAAACCTGCTCCCAAGACCAACGATGCTTGGCCCCAAGTAGAAATTTACATGAATATTTATAATATGAATTTACATGAATATTTATAATATGAATTATCTCCCCAAGTCCAGTTTTAGCCTGTTTATTGATGCCTTAGAATAAAAGCTCAGAGATACACATATTCACTCAGAAGAAAGAGGCCTATGGTTGTATTCTCCTATTTCTTCTGAATCAAAACAGTACAGATGAAGTTCTGTCATTTCCCTGGATTAGCTGGGTGTCCTAACCTCGTATCATTTTAAGGTAGTTTTTGGAATAGTCAAGTGCCACCGAATTCTCAAAACTTTGTTCTTGGAAGCATTTTCTGAATAAGGAGATAACAGAACATGGTGATTAATAAAAAAAGTTGAAGTTGGATTGAACCCCAAGTTTCCCATTCCCTGAATATATGGCCTGAAGCAATTTATTTACCACCTTCTGCTTCTGTTCCTTCATCAGTAAATTAAGAATATAATAGTATTTGCCTCTTAGGTTTGGTAAGAGTATTACCTAAAATAAATCTGTAGAGTTTAGGAGAGTGCTAAGAATCAACTATCATCACTAATACTATCTAGCAAATGCCAATCAAGGGGCAATGGAAACCTGTTAGAAGCAACTTAGCTCTTTTATGGCAAAAAACATCCAGGATGGCCAAGAGGGATGGAACTGGAGAAATGGGAATAGATTAAGAAGGCTGAAGCTATACTCTGCCTATTTAAAGATAAAGTTTTGCCATTTCCCTGGAAGTAAGATGAAGGATTTTAGAGTCAGACTCCTTGGATCAACTCCTGCTTTATTTACCCTTCCCCAGCTATTTACACACAAACTATTGTTATCTCTGTATTTTTGAACAACTAACTGCCAACAATAATAGTCCTCATCTTTTGTGGTGGCTGTGATAAGTACCTACTAAATAGCTGTTATGGTTAATCAAGTTAATATTTACAGATAAAGTGATTTCAGTAGTGTCTGGCACATAGCTATTATTATTACTACCTTAGCTGTAACTATTGTTGAGAAAATCTAAAGAATTAAAAATGCTTTAAACCTTCTGGCTGCTACACAAATAAAAATGCTGATAAAACTATATTGGTTATGATGCTTTCACCAGCAAACTAAAAAACAAAAACAAAACCAAACACAAACAAACACCCCCCCCCCACACACACAGAAAAACTTCAATAAAACAAGCTAAACCTATGAAGAGATTTATTATTGCCCATAACAGTAAGTCCATAGATGTCAAAATCAGGACTCCAGTGCCATTACCTAGGGCTGTGTCCTAAGAGTGTGCTGTCTTTGTCTTCACAATGATTCACTCATGCTCACAGGATTGCTACTGTTTGAAGCCAGGTGTTGCTCTTTTGCTGCAGTCTGAATGTTGGTGTCGCCCCAAAATTCATATGTTGAAAACCTCACCTTGACCATGCTGATGCCTTAACTTTACCTTCCCAGACTCCATCACTGTTGTGTACAAAGCACCCAGTCTGTGGTATTATGTTATAGCAGCCCAAACAGACATCTTCCACCTAATTGGTCATCTTAAGTCAGGTGCCTACTGCTTAAGTAAATACCATGAAGATTGCCTTCACCCTGGGTGTCTGAACTGGTTCTTGGCAAATGCGATATTGTAATTAGTTTAGAGTAATCAAGATCAAAGCCCTGCCCTAGCAAGTTTGGCTCAGTGGATAGAGTATCGGACTAAAGCAGTGGTCGGCAAACTCATTAGTCAACACAGCCAAATATCAATAGTACAACAATTGAAATTTCTTTTGAAAATTTTGAGAGCCAAATTTTTTTTTTTTTAACTTAAACTACTTCTAACACCACTTCTTCAAAATAGACTCGCCCAGGCCATGGTATTTTGTGGAAGAGCCACACTCAAGGGGCCAAAGAGCTGCAGGTGGCTGGCAAGCTGCAGTTTGCTGACCACAGGACTAAAGGGTCTGAGTTCGATTCCAGTCAAAGGCATGTACCTTGGTTGCAGGCTCAATCCCTCAATCCCTGGTTCTGGTCAGGGCAAATACAGGAGGCAACCAATCAATGTGTCTCACGTCAATGTTTCTCTCTCTGTCTCTTCCCCTCCTTTCCACTCTCTCTACAAAAAGAGTCAATGGAAAAATATCCTGAGGTGAGGATTAACAACAACAACAAAGATTCAGGCCCTGAAACTTGGGAGTGAGTCCGATGCTGTCTTAGAGTCCCAGCATGAAGCAGATGACATATTAAAACTAATTAAATAGCCTGACTGATGTAGCTCAGTGTTTGAGTTTCAACCTATGAACCAGGAGGTCTGTGGGGTCAGGGCACATGCCCAGGTTTTGGGCTTGATCACCAGTAAGGGTTATGCAAGAGGCAGCTGATCAATGACTTTATCTCATCATTGATGTTCTTCTCTTTCTCTCCTTTCCTCTGAAATCAATAAAAATATACATTTGGAAAAACTAGTAACATAAAGAGAATTTACTAAAGGGACTATAAAGTTGTGGCAGAGTTTGGGTAACTCAACAAGGGACTGTGCAGGCCAGAAGAAGCAACAAGGAGTCATTATTACCATCCTCACTGTGAGGACCGGGAGCTTCTCCAAGAAGGTGCACACAGAGCATCAGAGGGAGAGGGCTGCCACAGAAGATCTCTGTTCACTTCCAGATACCTGCTGACAACTGCAATTAATTAGCAACAAAGGAAGCCAGCAAAATACCGCCCCCCCCCCCAGCCATACTTTTTTACCACTTGCTGAAAACCACAGAGGAAGGGCATCATTAATACCATTGGTATCTCCCCAGCCCCAGGTCAGACACCTAGACCCTGGTCAGGGTGCAGAAAAAGAAAGATGCATTTGGAGAAGCAAATGAAATGATATCACGCCTGGGCCACACAGGGGAGAGGAGTTGTATCTAAACAAGATGGTGTCCTGGTGGGAAAGAAGGAGGAAAGGGATGCTAGATAGATACCTAACAAGATCCACCCCCAGTATCTTCATTCTAAAGAAAAGCATTCTGTTTCTTTTTCAAATATCAATGGTCTAAAGTTGCAGACATCTCTTATTTGTAAGTAAAATCCAATCCATCCTCAAGAAGTTAACACAGGCTGAACTGCCACCACTTGATGAGGGATTCAGGGAAAGGAGGTGTCCAGATCTTTCAGGGAAAAGTGAAGAAATCCATCCCCATGAGGGATTGCAAAGGGAAGTGGCTGTTCCCTGGACAAAGCCAAAGAGGACAGCCTAATGAGGCCGAAGCCCGTTATGTGGTGTAATTTACTGAATCGCGTTGGCGGCCTTGCAATGTTTCAAGGCAATTTTTTTTTTTTTTGGTAATACATGATTAGTAGGGAAAGATTTGGATGTTGCCATTTTCCAAAGAAAACTTGACTACATTTAGCAATTGAGAAAAATGTTCTCCTTGGAAAGTCTCATATTTCTATGCAAAGTGGTATCCTCAGTCAGAGTTTACACAAGGTATTATTGCCTAATGCATGAGGATCACTAATTAGTTCTGAACTAAATGTCAAGATAAACAAACACAATCCCGAAAGGACTTCAAGAAGCTCTCTAATTAAGTGGCACCATCCGAGGCAAAGAGAATCTAGCCCTGTGGTTCTCCATACTGGCTGCACATTAAAACTATGTGGGGGAGCTTAAAAAAAAAAAAAAGAACCCTCTACATCCAGACTTCACTCCATAGCAATCAAAAAAATGTTCAGTGAGGTCTAGGCATGGGTACTTTTGAAAATCTTTCCAAGAAATTCTAACATTCCACCAGGGTTGAGAATCTCTGGCTTGTAAGATACTTATGTCACTGATGGATGCAGCATGTTGAAATCAAATGGATCAGTTTCTTTGCTGATTAACTCATTAGTTCAATCCAAGAAGCCATCCTGGCACTTGGAGCCTGTGGTTTTGTTTTGCTGTGTCTATCAATCAGATATTGAGCAGCACAATGGAAGGGTTAGAAATGGGACTCTGAGGTCAGGCTGTTGGGGTCAAGTTCTGAGTCCCCTCGTGGGCTATGTGATTTGGGGAAAGTCACTTAACCCTTTGGATGAATAGTTTCATGATCTGTAAAATGGGGGTAATGAGAGAAATTATAAGATAGATTGTATTGAAGATTAACTTGGAATTAACTTCATGCCTAGAAAGGTCTTAATGTAGTGCCTAGGACAGAGTGAACTCTCAGTAAATGTGAGCTATTAATTGTCTAGATTTTAGCCAACGGGGAGTCTCCCTATGTTCTGCTCACATGGCTGTGTAGAGTTCTCTTTGGCATGGGGATGAGGAGATGAGCAAGTTCAAATAGCTGGACCTGTGACCCCTTCCAGCTTGGATTCTATGGGTCTATGAGATGCTTTGGAGTCACCATACGTGAAAGACAATGACATTAACAACAAGTAGAAAACTACTACTATTTCAGCCAATGAAAGCCAGTATTTATTGAGTGTGCCAGGCACTAGGTTAGGCACTTTACAGCTTCTCTTCATTTAATCACCATAAAAATAAAACCGATCATTTGCTTTGCTAATGAAAATAGAAAATATTCCCCACTTTACTGATGGGGATCCTTTGGCCCAAAAATGATGAATAACTTTCCTAAAATATTCCAGCTAATAGCTGAGTGAGTTAGGGTTCAAACTAGGTCTCTCTGGCTTCAGGGAATGTTTGGTCAACGGGGCCATGTTGCCTGTCCTTAACAACATTCCTCAGTGTTGGGGCTGATGTAACTGCTTCTCTTGGAGAAAGAGAAAACAAAATCCTTGCTGAACAAATGGGGCCACTTCCCAGGGATGGATCTTCCTTAACTAACTTATTTTTTTTCTTGGAAAACACAGATTTAGAATACTGTGTTTTCTAATTCAGAAAACATTAATGTTGGCCCAATGTCCCCACTTGAGGGGGGTGGGGTGGGGCAGGGAAAGGGGAATCACAATGACTTTGCTGCCCTGCCAGTGGCAGGAAGAATCAGGTTCTTAGTGGTTATAAATTAACTCACATTAACATCTTAGACATGGAATGTGAATAGCTCTCCACTGCTAATCACCTCCTCCTGCTGAACCCAATGAGAGTGAGTCCTCAGAGGAGCATTCAAGGCAGATTTGGCCTTTCTTTCCCCAAAACAATACCTGCTAGCCCATTTTGCAGGATAACAAAAAATTCCATGGGGAAATCATTCTCTTCCCAGGGAAAGTTCTGGATCCAGGAACACTGCCCCAGCCTAAATCCAGCACAGACATCTGTACTCCAGACCCAAATTGTCCAGCAGGTGGCGATGTGTCCGCTGGGCTCCCATCAAGGAATATAAAGTGAGAAAATTGTCTTTTCATGGGGATAGTGCAGAGCCTTAGTTCTTATTGCTCACTCTCCCTGCTAGTATATGTTTTATACTTAGTATTTAATAGAGCTCTTCTAAAAATCATTTTAAAGCATATTAACATAATATGTTCTAGATCCATCCATGTTGTTGTAGATAGATGGTAAGCTTTTATTCTGTTTGTGGCTGAGACATTCTGTTGTAGGTATGTACAGCATTTTCTTTATCCAATCATTTTTTGATGGACATTTGGGCTGCTTCCATATCTTGACTAGTGTAAATAATGCTAATACAAAATAACATTGCACATACTAGTAAACTGTAACTAAAAACTAAAAACTAAAAAAAAAAAAAAATACCCTCCCCTCCCCCCCAGTATGAAACACATCTTAATGGGAAAATTGTTTGTTTACTTACTCTTTTTTGTATTTAAATAATATTTTTATGTGTGCTTTTGTACATTCATGTACTATCACAGTAATCTAAAATAATTTCTCACAGGTTTATTAAGACAACAGACATGGAATTTTTCTTCCAAATTAAATTAAGAGAGGTATAAATTAAGGAAATTTAATAAAAGTTGCTGTGTCTTTCTGGTATTTTTGGGTAAAGAAGACAACCATTGGGTTTAAAGTAAAGAAATAGTGGCCTTGACCTTATTTGTGAGTTGCTTTCTCATGTTCACATGAACATGTTAGGCTAATATGTTTATTACTCTTTTTTAAAGTTTATTTTTTTTTATTGTTTTCAGTATTACAGTATTACTATTTTCCTTCCACTTCCCTCCTCCACACACTCAAATACACCTATGGAGAGCTTGGCTCTTAGATTTTAGGTTTGTGATCAAGATCCTTCTGTCCACCTGGGGGCAGCAGATCCTTATCTACAGAAGCATCTCAAAGGAAACAACTGGCTTTTCAAGCCTCCCCCCCACCCCCTCCAGAGGGGTTAATCCTCATGATTTTTTAAAATATTTTTTCTTTATTGATTAAGGTATTATATGTTTTCAAGCTTCTTAAGCTTTGGGAGTAGTGTTTCCTAAATGGTTAACTTCATAAATATTAATACTAAAATATTATATTTGAAGAGAGGATTCCACATTCAAATAAGTTTGAACTTGGCTTAAGCAAAGTTAAAAGTGACCTTCCTGCAGGAATTCTCAGAATCTGTAATATGCTTTCATGATACAAAATCAACATTAGGGCATGCTCACACTGCCTGGCCCTGAGCTGTGTGTGTTACCTGCAAGTTAATAGTAGCAGGTAGGCCTGTTACTATTCTCCAGCTCACAGATGAAGAAACAGGCACATAGCTCAGTTTCAAATGTAGGCCACACAGCCACAGAACTTACATATTTGACCATTACACTATAATGCTTTCCCATGTGAGACTCCAAGAGGGGATTGTAATAGTCAGTGTTTTCCAAATATATTTGGTTTTGGTGCTCTTTTGCTCTTCTGGTTGACACAGAAGACTAGTGTTTAATAGAGCACATTATATGAAATACTTCCATAATGTGATGATAAATGTCATTCCTTTTTTATTTTTTACTGTTTTTTTGTTGTTAATTCTCACCCGAGGATTTTTTCCATCAATTTTTAATGAAAAGGAAGGAAAGAAGGAAGGAAGAAAGAAAAAAGAAAGGGAAAAAACATACAAATATGCAGTAGAGAAGACTAAAAGTCTACCGGCTTCCACAGGGAAGCTAAATATAGTGTGGAATGTTCTGGAAAAATACAGAAATGCTCACCTCTTCTTGAGAATCCAAAAATAAGACTGAGATTCTAAATAATGTTGAAGAATTAGACTGAAGTACAAGTGGTGCTTCTGGCTAACCCAAGGATTTTTTTTAGATTGAAGTTCAAGCAGCTAAGGAATCTTTTTTCCCCTCCCCCCCATATATTTTATTGATTTTTTACAGAGAGAAAGAGAGAGGGATAGAGAGTTAGAAACATCGATGAGATGAGAGAGAATCATCGATCAGCTGCCTCTTGCACACCCCCTATTGAGGATGTGCCTGCAACCAAGGTACATGCC